TCAAACTGTTTCTTTTGTGACCCTGCTTAGAATGTCACAGCTGACAGACTGAATAGAAGTAATTGTCCTGTATGTAACATGAACTTTTCATGTCAAACCCACTTGTTTAATCTCTACTCCCAAATCTTATTTCTTAAAAAAAATTACCTTAAAAAGCTTGTAATAAAAGAAAATTTCCCCAATCTGGCAAAGGAAATAGACTTCCAAGAAATCCAAGAAGCTCAGAGAGTACCAAAAAAGTTGGACTCAAGAAGAAACACACCAAGGCACATCATAATTACATTAGCCAAAATTAAAATGAAGGAGAGAATCCTAGAAGCAGCAAGAGCTAAGGGGACAATCACCTACAAAGGAGTCCCCATCAGACTGTCAGCAGATTTCTCAAAAGAGACCTTACAGGCAAGAAGGGGCTGGAAAGAAATATTCCAAGTCATGAAATCCAAAGACCTACAACCAAGATTGCTGTATCCAGCAAAACTTTCATTTAGAATGGAAGGACAGGTAAGGTGCTTCTCAGATAAGATCAAATTCAAGGAGTTCATCATCACCAAGCCCTTATTATATGAAATGTTAAAGGGACTTATCTAAGAAAAAGAAGTTAAAGAAACATGAACAGTGAAAGAACAACAAGCTCACAGTTATTAACAACCACACCTAAAACGAAAGCAAACTAAAAGGACAGCTAGATCAGGAGTGGAAATATAGAAATGAAGATCTCAAGGAGGGTTAGCAACAGGGGAGTGGGAGGAGGAGATGGGGGAGAAGGTGCAGAAAATAAGTAGCATAGACAGTAGATAGAAAATAGATGGGGGGGCAAGAATAGCATGGGAAATATAGAACCTAAAGGACTTGAGACACATGGTCATAAACTAAAGGGGGGTAATGGTGGGGATGGGGGGGCAGGGTGGAGGGGAATGAAGGGGGGAATAGAACAACTGTAACAGCATAATCAATTTAAAAAATAAATAAAAAAAAAAGTAAAATTCCTGGAACAAAAAAAAAAAAAAAGCTTGTTACCTATAATTTAATGCCAATCATCTCTGGCTTCTTAAAACTGGTATAACATGTTTCGTTTCCATGCCTTAACATTTAATACCACCTGCTCACTTGCCAATATAGTACTAATGAGGGAGACCTCTAGTGTACCAGAACTTGCAATTAGGAAGTAAGTGGATAATATTCAATCATTTGTAATTTTATAATAACAAGTGTGTTTTCTTTATTATGACAAATGTGTAAGTTTTTCTACTTTCTCCAAAAAGTTAATTTTAATTCAATATTTGCTTTGCATTTTTGATTCTATGTACTACTTGTGAGTGCAATTCAACTGTAAGAAAATATATAAAGACATCTCTGCTTATGAAGGATCTTATTTTCCAACTTTTGTATGTTCTATAAATGGTCTAAGTCATTGGAAATGCTAAGAAATTAGGGATTTTCAAATCAAAAATATAAAAATTAAGTACGATTTATGGTATAATGTTAAGTAGGATATGTATGTATTAAATGTATTCATTTTACAAGAAGCAGCAGCTGCCATAAATTCTCAGGAGTATAATGCTAGAACAGTGGTGGAATGTATGGTTCTGGTGCATTTAACTAAATAGATGGATTAGGTTCATCCTTAATACTTTCATGAGGTTGCAAAACTGCTCTATATGATTTAAAATTAGAGATAAAGTCTATAAACACCTCCTTTTCAATTGGGCTAATTTGTAAAGGTGTTACAGAAAAAACTAAGAATAGACCTCTTGTCAAAATTGATGTCTATTATATGTTGAGAAATATTACCTATGGAATGTCAGGTTTCCCAGAATTATTAAAGAGAGCATTTTTGCTCTATGTAAAAATCAGCTTACTCATAATTCACTCATTCTTAATTATTAACCTAAAATGCTTTGAGTACCTTTAATGTGCCAGGTCCTATTCTATGTGTGGAAATACAGATGTTAAAAAAATGAATCAAAATTCATCTCCTCATGGAGGCTACATACTAACAAAGGGTGCAGGCAACAAACCAGTATAAAGTACATCAGGAAAGAGCCATGGCTGGTGTGGCTCAGTAGATTGAGTGCCAGCCTGGGAACCAAAGGGTTGCTGGTTCAATCCACAGTCAGGGCACATGCCTGGGTTGCGGGTCAGGTTCCCAGTTGGGGGTGCACAAGAGGCAACCACACATTGATGGTCCTCTCCCTCTCTTTCTCCCTCCCTTCCCCTCTGTTAATAAATAAGTAAAATCTTTTTAAAAGTATGTCAGGAAACAAAGTCTACTCCTGAGAAAATTAAAGCTGAATAAGGAGATGAGGAGGTACTGGAAGGGAAGGGGATGCAGAGAAGTTGGCTGGCATTTCGCTGGTATACACAAGATGGGGAGACAATTCACATCTCTTGTGATGATCAGGGCAAAATGTTTTGAGTATCTTCCTTGGGAAGAGGGGATGCTATTTCAGACAGGCTGATCCAGGAGTGCTGCTCTGTGGAGGAGATTTCAGAAGAGGCCTGACCCCATGAATGGAACAATAGGGTCCTAATACCTTGCCAAGTGAAAGTGTAAACTGTGCAACTCTTTTGGAAAGTGAAAGTGTTTTAAGACATAAAAATGTTTATAGAATCTGCTCACCAAATGATACAGAAATCAGTTCTAAGAAATAATCCTAACCGTAGGAAAAGCTCTTTACCTAAAGAAATGTTTGTCATAGTGTTGTGTTAGGAAAAATTTGAAAAGATCCCAAACAGCTAACGCTGGGAGAATGACCACGAGAGCCATGGTGTACCTATAAAAGCGGGCCTCCTCCTTCTTGGGATGACTGACTCTTTGTGTTGAACACTTGTTTCCAGGAGGGGCTGTCCTATGCAATGTAGAATGTTTAGCAGCATTTCTGGCCTCAGCCCCGTAGACAATTGTAACAAGCCTCTCTTCACCCCAGCGATGAAAATAGAAAAGGTCTCCAAGTGTTGTCAAATATCCCCTGTGGGGTAATACTGTTCTTGTTGAAAACAACTATTCCAGATGGAATATTATCTAATGACAATGACAGGTTTATGAATTATGTGCAATAAAAGTGTTTATGTAGCAGTATAAAAAATAGAATAAAAATATTATGTAATAAAAAAATGTGTGGTAAAAGCTATAAATACAACAAAACCATAAAAGAAATTTAGATAATGGGTATAAATAATTGAGTTAAGTAAGACTCTCCTGACTTACCTGATTTCATTTGTTTTCACTTCTCTCATAGTTGATTATTGTCTCAGATTTAAGGGTTAAGAGATGAGGAATGATTGCTGTATCTAATAGGAATTGTCTTTGTTATAGGTTTCAGGGTATATTTATAAGAATTTGTCTATACAATGCTTATTTATCATAAATGTTACTTGCATAATCACCCTTTCTTGGAAGACTTTCTGTAAGACACATTGCTAATAAATAACCATGAAAGAAATATACTGCACTTTGAACTAATGATAATGCTGTTGTTGAGTTCTGTTTACATTTACATTGGTGACATATTATGTTATTAAATATTTTACCACATATTTCGCTTTAAAAATTTTCCCTATTTTCCTCCTCTAAAATTGAGGTGCATCTGATGGTCTGAAGATACAGTAATTTCTTTGCCCCTCAAAAGCCATTTATTCCTGGGGCAAAGGCTAAGAAAAAATAGACTAATTAAAGGTGCCATGTATTTCTGGTTCAGATCAGCTTATGATTAAACTTTGTGGGTTCTGGATAAACACAGAGGCTGCAAAACAAAAGGACTAGGACTGGTTTAGAAAAGCAATCAAAGAATCAAAATTAACGTTGCGGCCTTCCTCCCTGGGAAAGAGAGAAAGATGCATGTGCATTTTTTGTATCTTGCAGACCAGTGCTTACCAATATTTTGTGCTTTGTGACCCTCTTCTATTTGTTTTTCCTGTTACCTATTTCAGATTTCTTCATGAATATCGCTTTTAAAAGTAAGCTTTAAAAAAGGAACTACTTAATTCTGTTTTTTTTTTAAACAGATTTTGTATATTGTTTGAGGTAACTGGAGTTTCCCTAAATCGTTGCTAAAGAGCAGTGGTTCTCGAACTTGAACATGCATTAGATTGCTGAATCCCAACCTCGGAGTTTCTGATATAATAGGTCTGGGATGTGAATTCGGGATTTGCATTTCTAACAAGTTCCCAGATTTTTCTGATGTTGTTGGTCTGGGAACCATCCTCTGAGAACCACTGATTTAACGGTATCTTTTGCAGTCCTCCAGCTGCAGACCCTGAACTAGGCATTCTTGGGGATTAAGTCCCTCCTTAGCAGGCAGTGTTATAAAACAATACTGCCTAAGGCAGGGGAGTTTCCAGGATCAAAGTAGGCTCATTACCCATGATTCCCTGTTGTCCTGCACTTAAGCTCTACATGGCTCAGGGATCCCGATAATTTGCCTGAACACAGGACTTCTAATCTTTTCTATTCTGGGACTTGGTCCTTATCTATTCACCTGGCTTCCAAGCTTAGCTTGTCCCTGCCTGGGAAATCTAACTCTTAGTTTGGTTCTCAACCAAAATTTCCCAACACTTCTTGGTACATGGTACTCTTAGTTTTTCAGTAACATTTTCATAGTTCCACTGAGCTAAAGAAATACATAATTGTTCTATTTATGAAGTAATTAGCTCCAAATAATTTAATATAATAGTTGTGCAGTATCAGTACATGTTATAGTGTTGTCCTCAAAAATGTAAAATTTTGTGAAATCTGTGTGTGCCTCAGTGCAGTTAGGGAATCACAGTTCTGTACACTTTCCCATCCCATTAATCTCTTTTATGTCCATCACGCCAGTGGGACCCACACCCACAATTTGCCAGGCACCAGCACAACAGTCCACAGGCAGATGGAAGTTGATGGCAACATTTACATTTATTTCAACACCTTGAATAAACCATTTGAACAATGTTGGATAAGGTGTTATTTTCATAAAAACATCTTTTTTCAAAACAAATGTATTTCTATTTTCCATAAAAGTTAAAATCACATGCTAAAACGGAGTTAATCACTAAGATAACATGAAACAATATCAGGAGACTTAGAGAGCAAGAGCAGATAAAAACTGTATCATTAAACAATTACACACAACTAGAAAATTGACTCAGTAGTAAAATATAAAAATCTAGAATTATAAATATAAATTTGGTCCATGGAGACACTAGACCAGTATTTACAGTAAGTATCAGAATATTTCCTATTTTAAGTGAATACTGCAGTTGTAAAATGATGAATATCACAGGGAGCAGCATTTTATTTACAGTCTACTATATTAAAAGTTACATTTCCAGCAAACCTGATGATTGCTACAAATATAGCTAAAATTTTGACACTAAAAACAAACATGTCCTCTGTAGTTGGAAATTTCTAATACCTATAAATTGAAAATTTCTGTTAAAATCAATACAAAAAAAACTGCCATAATTTTATTCTTAGAAATATTGTAAAATTCAGTCATTTTAGTTGAAACACAGTAAGTGAGTTACAAGAAGTTTTGCACGAAGGCACACTTTGTTAATGATGTAAATTTGGCAGCAGAACCCTATGTCATGAAAGTCACTGCCAGGTGAGAGAAAAACATAACAAAAACTGAACTGATTTTTCCAGTCTAATTTTAGAAAGGAAAGCAATGTGCAGACACGGACTTTCCTCATCCTATCTGTGTTAAACTAAAGACTCCAAGCTTTCCGCTCTATTTCCATCAGGCAATGCTGTGCCATTACTGTCCAGGGAGGTGGATGGATTCTCTTCCTGCCTCGTGCTCACAAGGCTGAGGACCGCTTTGTAGAGGAACTGATACTGCTCCTAGGGAACAGAGTGGGAGGTAATAAACAGCAACTCAGTAGAGACATACATTTCTAAACAGAGGAATATTTTAAATTATACTTTGACACTTTGTGGAAGGGCACTGTGTTACAGGCTGTTATACTCAGTAGAGGTACATGCTCGATATTAATGTCTCCTTGTAATTAAATTTAAAGTAGCTTTTTAAATTATCCAACATTTATTGTCCTAGAAAATTGGTCCACATACATTTACTTATGATAAGCACTCCACCCTTATTCATTTACTTCATGGAGTCAGGAGTAATATGACGAGGTTCCATTACTGACTGATCAACTTGTGCATAAGCCCTTTGGCACTAGGCACCTGTAATCCACTCACAAATAAGCTACTCATTCTCCTTTCTCCAGTTGTTATGGAAACCATTGGATTTGCGTATTTATGGGGAGGTCTCACAAAGGACTGCACAACAGCTGAGGGATCCATGAAGAACACGGACCTCTTTTTACAAGAATATTTTACGAATATTCTTCACATTCTACCTGCCTGTCTGCTCCTATGCCCTGCTTTGAGCAAAGGTAAGCCAGCCAGTGTCCTGCTGTGGTCTTACAATACAGACACACACAAGAATAGTTTTTCTCTTACAGATGCCAATTTGGTCAGTGGGGGACGGGGGAAGGCAGCTGCAGAGAATGTGACTGATGTTGTAGTAGAAAATCATCAGGACCACATGTGCACTGGTGCCTCATTGAATGCATTCACGGAATGGGTAAAAGTTCAACCTCTGGAGAGCAATTTCCTACAAGACAAGCTCCATACAACTCAACTAACACAAATGAGATATTTAATAGAGAGAGGGTTTGCTGATGTGCAAGTGTGCAAGGGGTTACCTTGCCCCTTGGCCAATGGGTTTTGGCTGGAGCTTGAAGGATGGACCTTTTATAAGCCCCTAATACATGCACAGACCAGTGAGCTGAAGGGAAACCTTTCCTTCTACATCCATAGAAGCTTCTCCCTCCCACTGGCCCCTTTGTACTAAGTTTCCTTCTATTTTTTCAGCCATATTTCTACAATAATAAAAACTTCCAGATTATTTTGAGTGTTGAGACTTATTTCTCCAGTTGCACCATGCCTCTTTTTTACTTTGTCCATGTTTCCCTTTCTTTTTATTTATTTTTTAAAGATTTTTTTTTAATCTTTAGAGGGGAAGGGAAGGAGAGAGGGAGAGAAATATCAATGTGTGGTTGTCTCTCATGTGTCCCCCGCTGGGAACTGGCCTGCAACCCAGGCATGTGCCCTGACTGGGAATCAAACCGCGATTCCTTAGTTCGCAGGCCTGAGCTCAGTCTGCTGAGCTACACCAGCCAGGGCTCCCTTTCTTTTTAAAATTACCCAAGAATTAGCCATTTTTTAACTTCAGAAATTAAATTTCATTAAAAAAAAGTAAAAACTTCAAACGTTTAAGATTTTGTGGTCTGTCTTCTGATGGTTCTCTGAGCTAAGTAGAAGTTGAACTTCAGGAAAACATTTATTTTGTTGAACAAGTCAAAGTAGTCAGTGCTTCTATTAAGAATATTTTGCAGAATTACAATAAGTCTTGCAAAAAGGTATACTTGTGACTAAAAATTTTATCCATCAATTTTTGGAAGATAAAATTTAAAAGTTTATTATTTATAGTTCCAGTTCTATGGACTGTGGACAATATAACTTGTAATTCAGCTTGAAATGCATTCCAATGCTTCAGGCTGTGTGATCTCTCTCTCTCTCTTTTTCTCTCTCTCGATATAAGATAAAATGATTTAGGCAGCATCTAGGGAGTAAGTAGTACTCTAACAGTGAAAAGTTTGGTTCATTGCTTTATTACTTACAATGTCAGCAAAGACTCCTGGCCTCATCAAATTAATCATCTTGGCTACCTGGTAAACATCCATGGAATTTTCTTTTTCTAGTTGGTGCACTAGGGTTGTCAGAGCACAGAAAGTCCCTGCTGTCACTCCTCCATGCCTTGGAGCAAAGGGAAGGGACAAAGACTGTTCAGATGCATTAAACTTACACATTTGGAAGTCACAGGGTATGTAACTTTGACAAATTTGCAGTAAGAGCACTGACATTTCTAATGAATTACTTTTCTTTATTGTGCATAGAACTATGGTTTATGGTTCATAAAACACAAATGTTCATGACATTTGTAATGGGATACTTTATGGAAGATTAAGATTTGCTTATACTAGGAGCTAGCAATCAATTTGAATGATCTAAGGCGATACTATATGTTATATAACATGCATAACATATCATATATATAAAATATAATTCCAGCACATGCACTTTTTATTAGTTTATAAGTGAAATTGTAAAGAGCTATTACATAAAGATTCCTGTTTCTGGTAAATAAAAAAAATGTATCAATTCCACTCCTATCCCAAGAAGTCAATGTCTAAGAAATGTCTCTGGTTAGCACCTGTAAAAATTCAAATGCTAAAACTGAGCCATCACTGAAAGTGTTCTCAAGTACAATACAAAAGCACATCTTGTGATCACACACCCATCTCCTTTCTTCGACAGGAGTTCCAAGAGAAGTGAAATAAAAAAATTCTGTGTTAATCTTAACCACAAGAAGCACATAATCCACCCTGACTGCATCACTAAGATTAGTCCAAAGCAGTGAGTACAAATAGAAATATACATACACCAAGAGGATATTAAAACATGAAACAATTTAAAGTGTGGAACTTACTCATCATGAACAATCATGGGTCCATCCCTGCTGGCAGCTTCTTCTTTGATAATACTTAGAAGTTCAAAAGTTTTACTAATGGGACTATCTGGATTTGGCCATTTGGGACACTGAAAATGTCTCACTTCAAGTACATAATCATCCTATTAAAAGAAAGAAAAAGTCATGCTTCTAAAAGAATAATATAGGTTACTGAATAGAATTATTGAGGAAAATCAGGAGTTAGAGGAAGTTGATCAAAGCAAATGGCATGCAGGAGTGAGCAGTGGCAATGTCAATAAGGTTCTTTTTATCCTTACAGTAACCTTATTTGTGAGATTATCATTCCAATCAAAACATGAAAGTATGTACCAAAAAATATCTTCAGGGTTAAAATTTGTTTTTAAAATAGCATAGACTTTTTCAAATGCCAGCATTACTCAGTTTTACTAAGGGAAGAATGATACTGCAAAGATGCAGAGGGGAGGATGCTGGCAGAGGATGGAGCTCTAGTTTTCAATATGGTCCTGGTTTTAATTCTTGTTTAAGTGACCAAACAGCCTGTGTGACTTTTTAAATCCCTTAAAAATGAGCAGACTTTATATGGAAGTGCAAAAGTACAAAATAGCCAAGATACTACTGAAGAAGAAAAGCAATATAAAGGATTATTTCATCAGATATCAAGGATTCTAATATCCTATAAGAATTAATAAGATTTTATAGTTTTGGCAGAGGGGTGAACAAAGAAACCAATAGAATAAATAGAGACCCAGAAACAAGCCCATACATATATGATAGAAATATGATTTATGACAGAACTGATATTGCTGATCAATAAAGGATGCTGAGACAATGGTTATCCACATGGAAAACAATGAAACTGGATCCTTGCTTCACAAAACAAACTACAAAATGTCAGTTCCAGTTATAAAATATTAAGAGAGCAAAAGGGAAATTTTTTCAAGTTAAAAAGGGATTTTTTAAAGACACTGAATGATTTCCTTATACAAGTGGGAAAGGAAGCTTAACATACTCACATGGATTAAACATTAAAACTGTTATTCACTAAAAAAAAAAATCACAAAGGAAAAGCCAAATCACAAAGGAAAAAGTTAAATCACAAACTGCAAAGAAGGTAATATCTATAGTTGACAAAGGATTAGTATCCAGACTATAAAAGGACCTCCAATAAATTTTCTAAGAATATGCTAAATAACTTAATAGAACAATGAGCAAAAATCATGAACAAAAACTTCACAAAGGGTAATGTAAATATACTCAGCCTCATTTGCAACAAGAGAAATGCAAATTATATTCACTGAGAGATGCAATATCATTCCCATCACAACACTGGTGAGGAGGTGGAGATTCCAAACCACTCATGCACTCCTGTTGGACAGGTGGATGGACTGGCAGAACCTCTTTGGACAATACTTGGCATTACTTAATAAAGTTGCAGAAATTTGAGATGCTCAAGCCAATGACCCAGTGGGATAATTCCCAGACATTCTCAGGAGAAGATTTTGTGTGTGTTGAAAAATATTCATGACCCTGGCTGAATAGCTCAGTTGGATAGAGCATCGCCCCAAGCTGGTTAGGGCAATGCCAAGGTTGCGGGTTAGATCCCTGGTCAGGGCACATACAGGAATACAATCAATGGATGCATAAATAAGTGGAACAAGAAATAGATGTCCCCCCCATCTCCCTTTCTGTCTAAAAATCAATACAAGGAAGAAAAAATATTCATAACAGTATTGTTTGCAAAAGCAAAAAAACCCACACAAACAGGTAATAACCCAAATGTAGAATATAAAAGTATATTTATAAACTGGAATGCTAAACAGCAGAATTAAATGAATTGGAATTATACTCAATAATATGGATTATTCTTGGCAGTATCATGATAAAGAAAAGTGAACAACCTCTAGAAAATACACAGAATGTGATTTATAGGAAGTTCAAAAAGATTCAAAACTGAAGAACACAGTGTTAAAGAATACAAAGACAAAAGATCAACTTGGAAAGTAAATCAAGAGATAGATAAACAAGGTTTCAGGAAGTGGCTGCTTCTGAAAGGAGGAGAGGATGGAATAGGATGGGGGACTCATGAGGAACTTCAAAGGGGAAGGCTGTGTTATTATTTTCCTTGAATTCATTTACAGTATCATTTTTATACCTGGTACATATTTTATGAACATTCTTTTTAAAATAATTTGAAAATTTGTATAACAGATAGGTAAATAAAAGCCCCCAGCTCTTGATTTTGGTACCTTACTCTCAACCTCTTGAACACTCAAACAAATCCTGGTCTCTACAGTATCGACCCTCACTCCTCTACTAACCTCAAAAACTGTGGTTTTTGTGGGGAGAGGGCAAAGAAGTGCCTAAAATTGTCTAAACTTATGAAACTACCCACTTCAATGTTTCACTCTTCTTTTACCATTATTTTAGAAATAACTGCTCATCCTTATGTCTGACTCCTAAGTGGTCAAGGTGTTCACAATAGGTAGCTTACATATGGGAGACAAACTGATATGGGATCAATCATGAGTGTTTATTTTCTGCGTAATACCAGGAGAAAAACTGGCTAGTCACCCAAGGCCAACCTAGATATTTGACTTGATGAGTAATCAGGATAATGGGTATGACAAGATCATGGGTATCTAATGATTATTACTCTCACAGTAAACTTTTTTTGTGCATGTGATTTTATTTTTTATTTTCTTTAACTTTATTTTATTGTTGACATAATAAACTTTTATGGGAGAAGGGCATGAGAGACTGCAGATCTGAATGGGTGATTCTGAAGTATTCAGGGAACAGTTATAAGTGAAAACTGGAATGGAATGTTAAGAGCTCTCAGAAATGTAAAGATTCTGCTGGTATCTGCCCCTTAACTTATAAATAAGGAATGTAAATCACTCTCCCAAGGCCACATTGCCCATCACTGGGACCATAATCAATATGTCCATTTTGGGGCAGGTTTTAAGCAAGTAGGATACTATTCCATTGCAATGTTTATATTATTAATTTACTTGCATTATCACATTTGTATGTTTTGTATCATTCAAATATGGAGAATAGTGAATCTTCTTGTATACCATCTATGGTTTAACAGTTTCAGAATTAGGGTATCATAAAGTAAAGCATTTAAACCATCCAAAACATTTCTTTTTTTTCTTTTTATTTTATTCATTTATTTTTAGAAAGAGGGGAAGGAAGAGAGAAAAAGAGAGAGAGAAACATCAATGTGTGTTTGCCTCTCAAGTACCCACTACTGGGGACCTGGCCCGGAACCCAGGCATGTGTCCTGACTGGGTATCGAACTGGCAACCCTTTGGTTCACAGGCTGGCTTTCTATCCACTAAGCTGCACTAGCCAGGACTAAAACATGATTTCTGATTGAGAAGGTAATCTGGGAATCTCATGTGTATTACTCATAATTCCTAGTATCTTTTAGTATTTCAGTATAGCTATGCAATAAATAATGTATTGTACTGTACTTATGTAAATACTGACAAATAATTTAGATTAAGGGCTACAGATAATTGAGAGCACAGTAAAAATAATTCTAGTATATTGTACTGTACATTTTCAAAGCACTTTACTTATCAGCCAGTACGTTGCTGGAGAGCAATGTGTTAGTTTAGTAGGTATTATCTTATTTTACTTAGGAGAATCCAAGGTAAGCATTTGCCTTAACACATGAGAATTGGGATTAATTTTTTTTAAAGATTTTATTTATTTATCTTTAGAGAGGAAGGGAAGGAGAGAAGGAGAGAAATATCAATGTATGGTTGCCTCTCATGAGTCCCCTGCTGGGAACTGGCCCCTGCTGGGAACTGGCCTGCAACCCAGGCATATGCCCTGACTGGGAATTGAACCGCGATCGTATGGTTCACAGGCCTGCGCTCAATCCACTGAGCTACACCAGCCAGGGCTGATTAATTTTTTTTAACTGAGTTTATGTTCAACTAAAATTATATCAGGAACTCTTTGAAGTAAAAGAGAAGTCTTTAATTTCCTGTGTGTATAGAAGTCTGGAACCCTGTCACTTAATGGTTACTAATTATTTAAGAATTCTATAAGATTTTGAAAATGTAAGTGACAAGCAAAGTAAAATTTATTATTTAGTTATTCTGTCTCAATTTGTAAGAAATCAGATTCCTTCTTATTTCTAGAAAAGATCCTTAAATGATGATATATTTAATATGTACTTAAGGTGAAACATTTTTCTTTTAAATTATATCCATACCTGTGTAGCTTCTAAGATAAAATCTTGAATTAAAAGTTTTTCTTCATTAGATAGACATTTGTGTTCTTCAGCCATAAGAGTTACCTTAAAACTCTCACAATTTATAGGCTCATCTTTATTTGGCCAATAAACAAATTCATCTTCTGCCTGGAGGATTAAAAACCAAAAAAAAAAAAAAGCTAGATTTTAATAATATGTCTTATTAAGCAGGCTGTAACATGAAATTAACAGATGCCATAATTCAACTCAAATTTTTCTTTGAATCATAAAATTTAGTCTTTTTTTCTGGTTTCTTTTTTTAAGTATATATTATTGATTATGCTATTACAGTTGTCCAATGTTTTTCCTCCTCTTTATCCCCCTCTACCTGGTACTACTATTCCCTCCAGCATTCTTGTCCCCTTAGTTCATGTCCATGGTTCATAAATTTAAGTTCTTTGGTTTCTCTATTTCCTGTACTATTCTTAACCACCCGTGTCTATTTTGTACCTACCATTTATACTTCTTATTTCCTGTACCTTTTCACACATTCTCCCCCTGCCCCCTCCCTGCAGATAACCCTCCATGTGATGTCCATTTCTGTGATTCTGTTCCTGTATAGTTATTTGCTTAGTTTGTTTTTGTTTTATTTTAGGTTCAGTTGTTGATACTTGTGAGTTTGCTGTCATTTCACTGTTCATAGTTGTGATCTTCTTTTTCTTAGATAAGACCCTTTAACATTTCATATAAGGGCATGGTGATGATGAACTCCTCTAACTTTACCTTATCTTGGAAGCACTTTACCTACCCTTTCACTCTAAATGAAAGCTTTGCTGGATAGAGTAATCTTGGATGTAGGTTCTTGGTTTTCATGACTTTGAATACTTCTTTCTGGCCTCTTCTTGCCTGTAAGGTTTCTTTTGAGAAATCATCTGATAGTCTTATCAAAACTCTTTGTAGGTAACTGTCTTCTTTTGTCTTGCTACTTTTAAGATTCTCTCCTTATCTTCAATCTTTGGCAATTTAATTATGATATATTTTGGTGTGTTTTTCTTTGGGTCCAATTTGTTCGGGATTCTCTGAGCTTCCTAGATTTGTTCATCTATTTCCTTCACCAGACTGGGGAAGTTCTCTTTCATTATATTTTTCAAATTAATTTTAAATTTCTTGCTCTTCCTCTTCCTCTTCTGGCAACCCTATGATTTGGATGTTGGAATGTTTAAAGTTGTCCTGGAGGTTCCTAAGCCTCTCTTCATTTTTTTTTTTTTGAATTCTTGTTTCTTCATTCTGTTCCATTGGATATTTCTTTCTTTCTTTTGTTCCATGCTTTCCTTCTCTTCATTGTTGGTTCCCTGCATATCTCACTTTTCATAGCTTTTACTTTTCCTCTATTTTGTTACAATATTCAACCACTTCTGTGAGCATCCTGATTGCCAGTGTTTTGAACTCTGCATCTGGTAGGTTGGCTATCTCTTTGTTGCACAGCTGTATTTTTTCTGGAGTTTTGATCTGTTCTTTCATTTGGGCCATATTTCTTTGTCTTGGTGCACCTGTTATGTTGTAAGGGGCAGAGCCTTAGATATTCACCAGGGTGAGGCAACCCGCATCACTGCATTATGATGCTGTATAAGAAGGAATGGTCAGAGAGGGAACAATGCTTCTTGCTTGGCTCTTGCCCTGCTTTCGGTCACTTCTGCCATTACTCACAAGCAAACTATGCCCTTTGAGGTGCTGACCTCATGCTGATTCCCAGGTGTGTGACCTTGTGTATGTTCTAGGATCTGATGGTCTCTTCCAACATACTCCCCTGTGAGACTGGCAGTTTCTCTTGCCACTACAACTCCCAAAGCTTTTCGTATCCTGAGGTTTTGAGGCCTTATTTCCCCCCACACTGGAATCCTGGGTTGCATTGTCTGTCTTGATCCCCAGTTGTTCCTCCCAGTTTATCCACATGTGAATGTGGGACTGTCTGGTCTGCCAGCTTCTACCTTGCTGTGCATTCTCTCCTTCCAGGCTGCCCATCTCTGCCCTTCCTACCAGGCTAGATGAATATTTCTTCTTTAACTCCTTGTTTGTCAGACTTCCATACAGTTAGATTTTCTGGTAGTTCTGGTTGCTTTTTAAAAAGTGGTTGTTATTCTTCTTCTGTTTGTGCCGGGAAGCAAAGCACATCTACCCATGCCCCCATCTTGGCCAGAATCCTCTGAATTACAAAATTTAGTCTTACAATATTGTATCTTAAACCAGATTGATCTGTAAAATAAAACTTAAGCACCTAAACTATTGTAGTATTATTTTGCCTTCTTAGCTCATCAATAACAAAGATTAGTTGTTGTTTCTATAACTGACAACAAGGTAGAGAAAAGTCAAGTGATTTTAAGAGCTCAGCAATTTGTAGCATCATTTGGAATGGTCAGCATAATTTTATGGACAAGAAATGAATCTCAAGGTATATATGTAAAACCTAAACAAAATATTATTTTGGTTTTATTTTGGGGGTTCTACAAATATACATAAAAAGGAGAATGGGATTTTCATTATTTTCTGACACTAAAAAAGTTCCTCTGATATTAGGAGTTCAGTTATTCCAAATAGGTATTTTTTGGATCTCCTTAAATTGAAGGAATTTCCAAATATCCTACTAAGTTTTATTTTAAAAAATTAGAAGCATATGTACTGACTTCATTCATGACTATGATTCTAATCTTTCTTAGTGGTGTCACAAAATACTTAAATTGAAATTAACTTTAAGATGTCCTTATTTAAAACTGTTGTTCAACAATTTCAGACCAGATTGCATAACCAAACTTGGCCTAATAGTAGTCAAGATGCAATACCAATGACATCAGTTTAGCAGTTGAAAGACATTATTTGTTTTTTTGCTGGACTTCTGGCTGCTCTGACCTGGTATTTCTCCTGTGAGGAAAGTACTAAAAGTGACCTGAGAGACTTACCATGTTTTGACCATCAGGAAGCATAACCACCAGCTGGGCATTATGGTCCCAGATCATCCTCCAGAAATCCTTGATGGTGTGGAGAAGGGGATGCTGGGTGATGATAAACTCACTGCTCTGATAATAACCCTACAAAATCAAAGAGAAGATAGCTAGAACCCTGACATATGACTTTTAATATTCAGAAAACATTTTTAAGTTTATGGCATTCTTTTATAAAAATGTACTCTATTGATTGTACTATTACAGTTGTCCCACTTTTCTCTCATTTGCCCCCTCTATTCAGTACCCAAATTCCCTCCAGCAATACTCCCCTTAGTTCATGCCCATAGATCATGCATGTAAGTTGTTTCATTACTCCATTTCCTATACTGTTCTTAACATCCCCCTGCCTATTTTGTACCTACCAGTTTGTGCTTCTTAATCCCTCAGCTTTTCCCCCATTCTCTCCCTTTCCCATCTCAGCTGATAACCCTCCAAATGATCTCCATATCTATGATTTTGTTTCTCTTCTGCTTGTTTTCTTAGTTTGTTATTTGGATTCAATTATTGATAGTTGTGAATTTATTGCCATTTTAATGGTCATCATTTTTATCTTCTTTTTTTTTATATAATTCCCTTTAGCATTTCATATAATAGCTTAGTGATGATGACATCCTTTAACTTGACCTTATCTGGGAAGCACTTTATCTGCCATTCCATTCTAAATGATAGCTTTGCTGAATAGAGTAATCTAGGTTGTAGGTTCTTGCTTTTCATCTCTTTGAATGCTTCTTCCAAGTCCCTTGTAGCCTGCAAAGTTTCTTTTGAGAAATCAGCTGACAGTCTTATGGGAACTCTTTTGTAGGTAATTGTCTGATTTTTCTTGCTGCTTTTAAGATTCTCTCCTTATCTTTAATCTTGGGTAATGTAATTATGATGTGCCTTGGTGCATGATTCCTTGGGTCCAACTTCTTTGGAACTCTCTGAACTTTGTGGACTTCCTGGAAGTCTATTTTCTTTGCCAGATTGGGGAAGTTGTCCTTCATTATGTTTTCAAATATAAGTTTTCAATTTCTTGCTCTTCCTCTTCTCCTCTGGCATACTTGTGATTCAGATGTTGCTATCTTTAAAGATGTCCCAGAAGCTCTTTAGGCTATCCTTGATTTTTTGAATCCTTTTTTCTTCTTGCTGTTCTGATGGAATGCCTTTTTCTGCCTTGCGTTCCAAATCATTGATTTTATCCTTGGATTCTTCTTCTTCACAGCTGGTTTCCTATAGATTTTTCTCTATTTCACTTTACATAACCTTCATTTTTCCCTGGGTCTATTTTATGCTGTTGATGTACCCAATGAGTTCCTGGAGCATCCTGATCACCAGTGTTTTTAACATTGCATATGATAGGTTGCTTGTCTCCGTTTTGTTTAGTTTTTTTTTTTCTGGAGTTTTGTTCTGCTTTTTCGTTTGGGCCATATTTGTTTGTCTCCTCATTTTGGCAGCCTCCCTGTGTTTGTTTCTGTGAATTAGGTAGAGCTGCTTTGACTTCCTTTCCTAGTAGCATCTTTCTTTGGCCCATCCAGATGAATGTAGCTTCTTTAATTTCTCGTTTGTCAGACTTCCACTCAACACAGTTTCCTGACAATTCTGAGTGTTATTTGTTTTGGAGTCTAGTTGTAATTTTTGCTATAGTTGCATGAGGAGGCAAGGCATGCTTACGTATACCTCCATCACAAATGGAAGTCTATGGCAGTCTTTTTAGTTTTACATTGTGTGATAAATAATAATGTGATTACTCTAGTCAATGTTTAGGGGCATTTGCTATATGCCAGTTATAGCACTAAGCATTTTCTTTCTCTTAAGTCAGTTATGCCTTTCAGCAGTACCATGGGATAGAAAATGTAACACACATTTTACAGATGATTAAACAGAAGTTTAAGAAGAGTTGTGGTCAAGTTTATACAGCTTTCAGCTCTAGGAAAAGACTTATCAAAATGACTTGTGGACCTTGTCTCCTCTACTAGATAGAGTGGAAATCTAGAAAAGGGTTATATTTCTCAATTTCCAGAAGTCCCAATGGCAGAGTGCCAAATTTCACACCTCTGGCAACAGGGCACTGTTGGTGTTCAGACACCCTGTCTTTGATGGGTCAGTGTATGTTTTATGACTACTCATCATTGCTGAACAGTGTTTGGTGCCTGCATGCACTTATTTGCAGGTGTCTCTAATCCCTGCAAGCATAAAAGCATCAAGGAATGCTGTTATCTGTGGCTACTATGGTGGTGGGGCATCAGACTTGACTTCCATCCTCCAGCATGGCTGTGCATGTCTGTAGTCACTGAGTCAGGCAGCTCATCCTGGCTTTAGTTCTGGTAACAAGCTGTCAGGCCATCTCCCCAGTGACTTCTCTGACTTACCATGACATAGGAGGCATTGATGTAGTCTGTGCCTTCCCCACTCAGGGACGAAATGCCAACCCTTGACCTTTCCACTGCAACACAGAACATTCATGATAAACAACCGTGCTCACAGGGCTACGACTCCTCCCTCCACCCCTAATTTGCAAAAAAAAAAAAAAGCAGCTATGTTTCTTGTATGGAGTGTCTATGATCTTTAAGCTAATTTTACTATGTATTTTGCAATTTTAGGTGAGACATCAGGGGTTGAGAGTACTACTTAAAAGTCACATTCTCTGGCATAATTACTTGAATATGAGTATATTGCTTTTGTCCTAAAATGTACCAATAATGTCAAATTACTTACAAGGCTTCCATTGTAAATGAAAAAAAGTGTTCTTTTTTTCAAGATTTAACATAACCTACCAGGAATGATAGAAGAAGTTCTGTTCTTTTCCCTGTTGCATTGCTTTAGGGCTGTAGAATAGTCACTCTGTTGAATATTTGATTGACTCAGGAGCTGAAAGAAGTCAAGAAAAATTATAGATTATTTTATTAAAGTTATTCTATCATACACACACACTCATGTACATACACATACTGCCCAACCAAGGTAAGATATTGAATATAAATATATCTGACTTTCAAGAATGCCTTGAACCAAACCTTGTTTTCAGGAACTCCCTGGCACATCTATGTTTTACACTAGGAAAGATGAAAGAAGCAGAGAAAATTTGCTCTCTAGTTTGACTTCAAGCTTTGGAAAGGTTTTCCTCATGGCTTCCTCTATGGGTGTGCTCTCTCCAGCACATGAGTAATCTACTTTCTATTTACTTATTCTTCAATTACTGAATGTTCAGGTTATGTCCAATGTTTTGCTATGTCAAACTTTGTAGCAATGTATGCTTCTGAATGTGCACACATGTGAGAGTTCATATAGAGAATTAAGTATTGACAGTCTGACAGATGAAAAGTGCTGTTTTCAAAATCATGGCTTTGATTTGCACTTCTGTAATTATATTGTAGGATGGGGAATTTTTGTGTCATCAGCCATTTATATTTCTTCTTTGATGACTGCCTTTTCATATTTCTTCCTCACTGTCATTTATTGATTTGTAGAGGGGTTTTATATTTTGAATGTAAATGTATAGTCTGTTGGAAATTACTTTGTCCTCTTTAATCATACAGATATTTACACCCAATTTATTAAGTTTTCCTTTAAGATTTTTGTAAATTGGTTTTTATTTAAAAAGTCCTTCTTTACCCTGGAGGCCTTTGAAGGTATTTTCCTGTAATAGTTATAAAACTTTGTTTTCACCCTGAGGTACATAAAATCTATACTGAATAATTTTTGTGTTTCATGTATGTTAGGGACTTAATTTTACTTGTTTCCACATTGAAGTTGTTTCAATATTATTTATTGATCAGTTCATCCTTTCCTTACTAATTTGTAATATCATATCAGTCACACAACAATTTCCACATGGGTATGGTTTCTCTTGATTATTTGTCTGTTTTTAAGTACTAATTATTACATCTGCATAATGTCTACCACATGCAGTAAAATAAATTTCTATTCCTCATTTTTAGTATTGCTTTGGATTTTTTGGCTCTTTTTTGCCTATGAAAATTTTAAAATTACTATAAACACAAAGCCTGGCATGTGATAGGTGTCTAGTAAGTATTTGTTGAATAAATAGACATGCAATTTATTTCAAAAGAATTTTTATGAATAAACTATCATAAATACCTTTTAAATACATTTTTATACTTAATAAAAGGTGTATACACACACACATACACTTACATTTTCCTAGTTATCATGTTAACAGAAAACAGAGTCAAATGCATCTCTTTTTAATTATACTCTGACATCATAATGGATATTTGCATTTGATGCTGGATTATCCAGTGTAAGCTGTATCAATCCACTTATGTAATTGTGCAGGGGGTAAATCATATTTAAATAAGAAATCTGTTGAAGGTGGGTGATTTACATATATTTTTTAATTTGGGGAACAGCTATCCAAAAAACTTAATGTTAACATTTTATTTTTCCTTATTATCTGTTTCTGGAAACCTCAGTGTACACATTTTCCTTCCTAAAGTGATCCGTTACAACTCATGTAAGCATGGCTGAGTAAAACATTTATGTTTCCCTGACAGCAGGTTCTAAGCTCAGCATTCTCCCCTGGTCTTCCTGTCACTCCTCCAAAGCACAAAGGGTGCTGATTAGGGTGGCAAAATGTCAGAGACAATGAATAGTTATAACATCTCTGTTGTGGGCTCGGGAAACAGAGAGAAAAAAAACTGAAATTGCAGAGTTTGTTAACTAACTCTCCTGGACTTTTCCAAGGTCTTCCTACTTCTTCCTAGGTCTTCCTAGGTCAAGGTCTTCCCAATGTCTTCTTCAGACATTGGCCCTGTTTCTGGGGAGGAAGAGGTTAGTACAGGAATAACATGGAGCAAAATAACAGCCTCCATTCCACTGGAAGCCTCTTCTCTGCAACCTGGTCACATCTGCTGTCTGAATTCTTTGCTGACTGATTACTGGAAGTCAAAAAAAGAGCTGGGTTGCAGGAGGAGTGTTGTTGAACAAGAACAACACCCCAAAACACGCCCTCCCCACTAGTTCACTGCCTTGTGCCAGGGTGAGTGGGAGAAACAGGGTTGAAGAAGCTCTTATTGTGGTGTGGCCTATTCTAGTTCAGGGGCTTCAAGTGAGGGAGATTTTTCTAAAGAGCAGCGCAAACAGCCTGAGCCATAGCACTCAGGCTTGAGTGGTCTGGGTTTTTCAAAGTAAAAAAAGCACTTGTACAGTCTGTATGATAAGTTCTGTCTGTTCATTCTGTTAGGCTCTGTGCCCTCCTTTCCAAGACCAAGTCTGCATTTACAAAGTTATTCTAGGGTTTCTGAGAACTTTTCTTCTAGCCACTCAGAATTAAGGTTCTCCTTGAAATTTACCATGTGGCTTGGCCTGGTTGCCTGTTGTAAAGAACAATACAAGCCACTGTGCCAACAGTGCTCTCAACCCATCCACATGGCCTTGTCGACTCAATGCGAAGAGGCAGGCTCATTCAATTCTGCAATAACACCCAAGAGGCTTCTGAGAGGACTCACCTTGAATTGTTTCTCAAGCTTTGTTTTGCCTGTGGGTCCAGGAATGAGGAGCGCATTGACATAGGCGTGAATGTGACTGTCTGGCACTTCGGTCTCCTTGCTAAGTATGGCCTCAACCAGTGCATCATGAATGAAGACATACTGTTCCTGATAAAACAAAGACAGTAAAGGATACTGCTTCAGGTGTTTCTTGTGTGTATTTAGGTATAAAAGCAGTACCTGCCACTGATGCGCAGAAACTTTTACACAGGGTAGAGAGAAACCCATCAAAGATTGCTTATCAGGCCTGGCAGGAAGTCGGGTGGAGGGAGGGAGGCAGTGTAGACAGAACACAGCTCTCTTTATTCCTCATCTCTTTATTTCTGGTGGGTTGGCACTTGTGGGAAGGAGGCAGGAAGGTTTAGGGAGGCAGAGCAACACCTTCCTGCCCATCCTTCAACCCGAGGCACACTTCCACACTGTGCGTGAGGACTTCCGGCCCTCTACACCTGGGCGGGTCTTCCCCTCGGCCCATTCCAGTCCTCCTGTTAGCCAGTCATGTAAAACTTAGCTCAATTACCTGTACAGTTTTTAAGAATTATCTTCTCTTTTTACATACAGGACTCTTCTCTGGCCTTATGTGACTAGTATGGCATTTCCTTCATGCAATGAAATTTGGTTTTGTTTTAAAATCAACCATATGTTTCTAGTAACTTTCAAGTTGCACACATAATTTTCAATTTACATTAATTTTTACTTGGACATAGTGAAAACAAATACAGACATGTAGACTTTGTCCTGTGTCACAGATGGGGAAAAGGAATGGGCTTAAAAGGGATAGAATCTTAGAATAATTCATATTTTAAAAATATGAAAATGAATCCATTCACTCACGATATGCAGAACAAAAGAGGATTTTTCCCAGCAGAAATGAGTGATAATTGACCCACTTACCCATTTTCTAAATCTCTTTTGTCACCAGTGTTATTTTAAATATATTTTCCATTTAGTCACAAAATAGACAAGATTTAGCTGGCCTATCCATGACTTATATGTGATTAACTGTTATGGGTTTATTTTGTGCCCCAGAAGATCTGTTGAAGCCCTAACCACTGCTACCTCAGAATGTGACCTTATCAGTACAGTCATTGAAGATATAATTAGTTAGAGAGACAGTGACTGGTGTCCTTATAAGAGGGAAATTTGGATACAGACAGAGGGAGAACAGCTGTTTGATGACAAAGGCGGAGAATAAAATTTTGTTGCTCCTTCATAATACCACACTGGCACCAGAAGCTTGAAGAGATAATAAAGGATCTTTCTCTAGAGGTTTCAGAGGCAGCAGGACCCTGCCAACACCTCGACTTTGGACTTCTTTCCCCAGAACTATGAAGCAATACAGACATGTGGTTTTTAAACCACCAAGTTTGTAGTACACTATTATGGCAGCCCTACCAAACTAATTCGCCTGCTGATACAAACTCTGGTCTATCCAGCTTTAGTGTTTTAGTGACCTTACAACTCTTAGCTGAATAATATCCCTTTTGTCATACCTCCGTTTGCACCAAATAATTTCTTTGTGAACGAATGTGTTTTAGGAAACCAAACACGTTGACTGTGCCTTCATGTTGAATTTGCTGCAACATACTGTCTAGCACAATATATGTGCCTGTTCTTCCAACTCCAGCACTAAAGAAAACATAAAGAAAAGATTATTTCAATGTCAAGCATAGAATAACTTTTAAAATAGGTCACTACAAGCTGTGTCATAAATTACTTTTTTCCTGAAGATGAAGCAAATGAGCCTCATAACAAAAAATTAGCAATTCCAAACTATAAGCAATTTAGTTGTTAAGCATAATGCTTCAAATAAGAAAACCTTTGCTTAAAATTTTTTTTGTCACCTGTCAAAATGCAAAACAACCTGACTATTTCTGTTGGGAATTTTTAAATCAATAATTACATTTATTATTTGTTTTATTTTATACAATGAGAATGTTATTTGTCAGAGCATAGCAAATAGACAATAATCAGAGAAAAACTGAAGTGCCAGCTTCACCAAATTCTGAAAAGGAAAGGTCCCTGGGTCTGTATGGCCAGGTAGGCATGTTTGTAAAGCTTTCCACATTCACAGGAGAAAAAAATTTGATAAGGCTTGCAGCTGAAAATATCATTTCAGTGAGATCGTGTGGTATAAAGAATAACTTCAGTCATTTCTAAAGGGCCATTATCTACTGACTTCTTCAAAGACTCTACCAAAGGGACAGAATTCAGAGGCAGGGATTCTTTTCAGAGGCTCTGACAAGTAGAAAGTGCTAGAGTGGAAAATAAGCACCTGCTCTGCACAATACCCTGTTCTTTCTCCATTTGCTCAGAAACAATCCCTGACCTTCGGGGCTAGTTTTCTTGCATCTTCCCATTTCCCTCAGCTTCTCTTCAGGCTGACAGATTAAAAAACTCAAAATAGGTCTCTCAAAATTTGTCTGATGATAACTCCTGAGATAGGCAATTAGAATATGTCAGGTAAGCTGTGTATCAAAGGAAAATACCTGCTTGTACAGAAACACAGACACGGCTTTACAAAAACACTGCACATAGAAATGAATGTGATTTGTGTGGTCATGAAGCTTGGTATGGAGTCAACATGCAGTAAATGGTAACTGCTACCTTGATTTTAACTGAAATATATTACCTGAATCCTCTAACATCGTTTCCTCTGTCTCTGACATATCATTGTTTCTTACCATCAATCTAGCCTTGGGAATTAAAATTCTTGGGCAAGGATTAGTTGACATCACATTCAATAATTAGAAAGATATCAGGAAAATGAGAAAAGGTTTTACATCCCAAGCTGTTTTTAAAGAACATAAAAGTATTATATCAAATTCTCACACTCAGTGTGCTGTGTTTTCTCTAATGTCGACCTGGTATAATAACTCCACAAGAGACTATTAAATCCCAGGAACAGGGGTTGCTCCTCAACCATTTTTATCCCATGCCAATACACAGGTTGGGCAAAAGTAGGTTCACAGTTGTTCATATGGAAAGTAATAAAATAATTCATAAATAATAATACAAGAATAAATTGTGTTTTACATACTCACAACTGTAAGCCTACTGTTGCCGACCCCTGTACTGTAATAACTGTTTAATGGTAAAACACTGTTCTGCCTGCTTCACATAGTTAATAAGTTGAAACCCAATTGAACAATCAAATAAGACAATAAACATCATAAAAATATCTGTTGCTTTGAAATATTCCACAATCGAATTTGAAGTCTGTCATATGCATTTCCTAGTGATCAATATTTATGAAAAGGGTGTGGAAATTCATTCTCCGCATGAGAATACTTCACGAAATCATTCCCATTTTGGCAAAATCTTGGCGCCATTGCTTCCCTTGTTATTTGCCTAAGCAATTCCAGGGGTTAGAAACCCGTCTGTGAATCTCACCTGCAGTGGACAACGACAGGCCCCACTGCGTAGCGCTTGGCATGGGCCGCCTTTCTCACGAAGGTCAGCACGGGCAGCGAGTACTCTGGCACTCCCATGTCAGGCCACTGTGTGTAGTGGTATTGCGTGACCACACGCCCATTGGGTCTTCCTTTCTGGGAGCCCTGAAAGAGACCAGACGGTGAGTAACAGGAATACACTCACAAACACACACAGAGCTCTTAAACAGCAACTGACGATTCAGAGCTTGATGTTGGCAGTCCACAAGGAAGCACAAATGTACATTCACTTGTGATGCTTCATTTTGTGTGGCAACATGGCCAGGCTATAGTGGCCTATGGTTTGGTCAGACACCAGTCATACCAGGTGTTGCTCTCAAGATATTTTTAGATGTGATTGATACTTTAACTCAGTATAATTTGAGTTAAATAGATTATGCTCCAAATATGAGCGTGTTTCACCCAATTAGTTGAAGGCCTTAAGAGGAAACTGAGGTAGGTTTCCAGAAAAGGAAGGAATTCTCCTCAAGTCTTTAACACAGAAACTGCCTGAATTTCTAGTCTGGGGTCAGTGAATCTCATTCTTTCAACCTCTCTCAGACTCTCCCTCTATCTTTCTCTCCCTCCCCAACAACCTTCCTCACTAATACGCACTGTTTTGGGGCTTTTCCCCCTTTCCCTACTTCAAGCTCTACTACTTTTAGTTGAGTGTCCAGTTATTAAAGGGGTAGGAATTGTTCCTGCATCACATCCACTGCAACTATCAACACCAAGACCAATCTTGCTCCAAAGCCATGGCTGGCAGTTAGAGACTTGGAAGGAACCTGTGGGATTGAGGTGTGGCTATGATAAGAACTCTTAATGCCTTAATTAAACACTTGTACCTTATCTTGGTTATACCATCCACTTACTTGAAAATGGACCAGATGTGTTACTCAAATGAGTATGTCTATTATTTGTGGGCTTACCTTTTTTATCTTTGTGTTTCTTAGAGTAAAATTCCTCACAGTATAATAAGCAAGGATTTGAACACTCTTCTGAGTGACCAGAAAGTTTCCATACTCTTCACTACCATCAGCAGGCCAATATTGGTCACATTTTCTCTGCAAAGGGGAAAGTAAAGATGCTATTTCCATGTCCAAATGCTTTATGTAGAATAGTCCCTGAAATTTGTGAAGGTCTAAGACTGACAGGAATGGTCTCTCTCATTGTTTCAAATATTTCTTTCCTTTCTAAGTAATTGCACATTGGCTATAGATGAGACCAGGGATAGAATCACAGAACTGAAAGGTACTGGAAATGATCTGGTCCAGCTCCCTTTTAGATGCGGAAAGTATGATCAGGTGCTCCGAGTCTGTGGCGCCAGCACTGGAAGACAGCTCTTCAGAATGAAAATCGCACTGACTCTACATTGCTTTGCAATGAGCCCCACTGGCTTTTCTTGCAGTATGAAGAATGCATTTCAACAGCAGATAACTTGATTTATAGTGAAATTTTTTGACTTGTAATGTTAACACTTTTTCTTTAGTTCTCATACTTATTAGAAAGCAATCCTGATGAACTCTCATAACTTTTGCTGCTTCCTAATGCTGACTCTAGTAAAGGCAATTTAAAGAACCTCTGGTCATTACTTTGGGGATGTCATAATAGATTATACACACACCCTTCCTTTCTCCACGAGGTTTGTTATCATAACGATGACTTCCACATTATGCTCCCATATCATTCTCCAAAAGTCTTCAGCTGTGGATTTCAGTGGGCCTTGGGCAGCAATGTAAGCTTTTGGTCTGTTGTAACCCTGAAGAAACAAACAGACAAACATTTCTTACTAATTTGTACGCCATTTTTAACCATCTAAAATTTAGGTTTTTAAAATTGTATATTTTTTTCTCTAAAACAATAAAAATAAACTTGCAAAGCTGGAGAGACTGGATAATACTAACAAATACAGCAACTCTTCTTTAACTATGGGTTTTTGTAGAAAAAAGAGTGCACAATTCTTTGCACCTTCAGCATAAGTACATTTCATCTAAGTCTATGTAGCATGCTTAATATCTTGTCCCTAACTGTTCTGCTTTGAAACATGCTTGAGGCATTGGGGCTCAATTGTCTACAACAGTTAGGAAACCTCTAATGTTGTCTCCTTGCCCTCTTCTTGGTAGAACTGAGCAACACTTATGATGAATTGCTATCCTTCCCCTGGCATGCATTGCTGGCCAAGATGCTTTATAAGCATCGTCCCTAATCCATAAGGTATACGCAAAATGGAAGCATCATCCTGATTTGGAGATGAGGAAACTGACATTTAGAGGAGTTAGGTGGCTGTCCAAGCTCCCACATCTAGCCAGTGGCAGAGCTGGGATTCAAAGCCAGTTCTGACTCCCCAGTCCATGTTCAATATGACATACATATTGCTTTCTCTAGAAGCATGAAGTGGTTGCCTACAATAAACCCACTGTATACTTATATTTGGTGTTCCCTTCTTTGAAATCAGCATCCCACAAAGAATAAAACTGAAGGAAGCAAGATTGAGAGGTCACTGTCAGGAAAATAAAAGTTCTTCTAACATTCAATTGACCACATTGAAAAAACAGTGGTCTGTTTCCCCTGGAGAGTTCTAAAACATTCTGCGAAGCTGGGTATCCTGAGGGATACTCAAGATTATGAAGGCTGATAACTGGTTTAGTAGTCATTAGTTTTAGCCACTATCACCTTGGAAATGTTTCAGTCAAGATTTATTGATCTGCTATAAACACAGCATTGTGTCGGGGGTCTCAGACAATCAAAATAAGCAGTGGTATGGTCCCTCATTGAAGAGGTTATGAACCTCTCTAAATATATCTATATTTATATCTATCATCTACCTACCTACTTTTCTATCTATCTATCACCTCTCTATCTATCTATGTATGCTACCTTGAAGATACATTCCCAGCATGAATTCCTCTCTCATTTAGAAGATAAGCCAAATACATGAAGTTGGCTATTGTTCAATCAGAAATCCTTTAGATATGGAATCTCTCACCATTGATTACTATGTACCAAATATAACATGCATTAAATACTAATATATGTTTGACATAGTGGTATAACACATTCTTATTCTAATATAATTTCCATAATATTTTAGTTAAAACATGCTTACATCAACATAATTGGCATTGATGTAATCAGTCAGTTTGCCATCTTTTTCAGCTAGTTGTGCAAGTTTAACTCTACTATGATCATCTGTAATAAAAAAGAAAATATTTCATTTTAGTACCAACTACTTTTCAGCATAAAGTTCCTATATATATATATATATATATATATATATATATATATATATAATTTATCAGTATAATTAAAATCAATGCAAATACGATTTACTTTAGTAGGCTTTTTGGGGCACAGAGGTAACAAAGATAAAGATAAAATAACAAGAGCTTCTGCCTTCAAAATGTTTTCTAGCATAGAAGCTGAGGATGGACATATACACAGAAAAGAATGCTCAGGTGTCAAGAGAGAGATGAAAAGTAGTAGGGGGACATGAAGGACGAACTCGCATTGGTTTGGGATGATAAACATTTTTGCTGAGATGAACCTGAACTTGGCATCTTAGGTGGGTATCTAAAGGTGGATACTGGGGCTGTGAACTGGGAAGAGCACAGGCAGGAGAGAAGAGTGATGGGGATCTCAGAGAGCTGAGGAGGGGCAGCAAAATATATGCTCTGAAGATGAAGCTGATGGAGCTAAGGAAGCAGAAAGGACCTAGGAAGTTTCTGTGAATGGCTACAGCAAATGGCTCTTTCAAGGGAAGAAGCTCAAAGAGAAACTATGTCAAAGGTGGACAAGAGAAAGGTTGCCCAACAACAGACTTGGGTCCTGCCCTGTCAGTATAGGGAACAAAAACTGTGGTGCCTTACACACTGTATAATGTGGTATTTCAAATATGTTGAAATGAGGAGTTTGGGATTCACTTCAGTTCTATGGAAAATGTAATTATTTGGCGGACCTACAGAATGAAAAAGGAAAGTGTTATAGGAAGGAAACTTGGTGGTTTCACAGGACAGACTCTTTGTTCTTTTCAAGGATGAAGAAGTGAGTACAGATCAAACCATGACAAGGTAAAGAGATACACAGGGATATAAATGCTTCGGTGGCAACAGCAGCTCCCAAAGGGGCAGGGATACATGCAGAAATCACATATGGCAATGGAACAAGGGGTATGAGGCTATGCTTACCTAATTTTCTATTTTGATTCTAAGATATATTGATGGATGTCACTGGGTAATTTTTCTGCTTTTCTTCATCTCTAAAGTTGGACTGTTATTACCTATCTTACCAGGTTGTTTCAGGGAATAAACAAAATAATGTGTTTACAGTGCCAGGCACATAATTGTGTTCAACAAATGATCATCTCCATCCTCTTAGTTTCCTCTGGGTATTTTCTACTTAGTTTGTAGTTTAACAACTTCACCCTCTCCAAGAAGCAGCTGAATTTTTATGTGCAGCCAGGGTGGTTGCTTCAGTTGAGGAAGACAAACATGAAGTGGAACCTTCTACTAAAAAAATAAAAGTTGAAGTAAGCCCTGTGGAGAGGAAGGCAGCACCTAAGCAAACTAGAAAATGTGCTAAAAAAAGGGAGAAGAGTAAAACTTCATTGGCTTCCAGAAACTAGAATGAAACCAGAATTTCAATAACCAACTTGTTCACATGAATCTAGGGAAGCACATGGAATGTATAAAAAGGAATGTCAGTAGAAGTTTCAGGAAGGGGAAGTGAAGATGAACTGTAAGAGATGGAGGGGAAGGTATATTAAATGAAAATAAGAGGAAAGAGATGTAAACCAGAAATGCTGTATGCAATTGTTGAGTTATGTTGTACACATGAAACTAATATAATGTATGTCAATTATACTTCAATTAAAAAAGATGATAACTTTTAAAAGATTTTATTTGTTTATTTTTACACAGAGGGGATAGTAGGGAGAAAGAGGAAGAAAAACATCAATGTGTGGTTGCCTCTCTTGAGCTCCCCACTGAGGACCTGGCTTGCAACCCAGCCAGGCATGTGCCCTGACTGGGAGTCAAACCAGTGACCCTTTGGTTCACAGGCTGGTGCTCCATCCACTGAGCTATACCACCTAGGGCAAAAGATGCTAATTTCATAGGAAAAAAAACCGCACATAAACTTGCATCAAGGAAAAGAACCAGATAACGGTTCATTGAGAAGAAAAAGAGAAACCGCTAAGAAAACAAAGTTGAAAGAAGGAATCCAACTAAACCTTTTAGGACTCCAGGAAGAAAGGCAAGAGAGGGAGGAAAGGGTGGAAGGAAAAAACAAAGTTTAAAAAAATACTGCTTGGTTAATAAATTCACATAATAGTGAGTAGATCTCAAGTGCAAATAGGACCATAGAATATAAATAAGGACAGAAACCATAAGAACTATACTGAAAAACGTATTTGCCAATCATGCTTCAGACAAGGGTTCAATCTCCAAAATATATAAAGAACTCATGACTTAACACTGGGAAGATAAACAATCCAATTTAAAAATGGGCAAAGGACCTGAACAGACATTTCTCCAAGGTGGATATAGAGGACCCATAGATATATGAAAGAATGCTCAATATCACTAGCCATCAGAAAGAGGCAAATTAAAACCACAATGAGATACCACTCACACTGGTTATAATGGACATCATTAAAGATCAACAAACAACAAGTGCTGGAGAGGATGTGGAGAAAAGGGAACCTTGGTGCACTGTTGGTGGGAATGCAGACTGGTGCAGCCATTGTAGAAAACAGTGTGGAATTTCCTCAAATAACTAAAAAATGGAACTGCCTTTTGATCTAGTGTTCAATAATGCTGGGATTAGTACCCTTAGAATCCTGAAACACCAATTCAAAATAACCTATGTACCTCAATATTCATAGCATTGTTATTTATAATAGCCAAGTACTGGAAACAGCCTAAGTGCCCATCAGCAGGTGAGTGAATCAAAAAGCTGTGGTACATTTACACAGTGGAATACTACACAGCAGAAAGAAACCTACCCTTTGCAATAGCATGGATGAAACTAGAGAGTATTATGCTAAGTGATATAAGCCAGGTGGTGAAATACAAATACCAAATGATCTCATTATAAGTGGACCTCATGAACAAAACAAACAAATGAGCAAAATATAACCAGAGACATGGAAATAAAGAACAAACTGACAGTGACCAGAGGGGAGGGGGAAGAGGGATAATAGAGAAAGAAGGGGAAGGGTCTAGTCAAGGAACATGTATAAAGGACCCATGGTAATGGACAACGGAGGGGGGCTGACTGGGTTAGCAGGGTTTGGGCAGAGCAGGAGAGAGCAACAGGAAAATCGGGACAATAGTAATTGAACAACAATACAAAAATAAAAGAAAAGAAAAAGAAAACACACATGCACACAAATATTTCAAGTTCATGAGGATTGAAGAAAGGGATGGATTAAAATTTAGTTTGTTTAATTTAAAAGAAACAGGTGTCTTTAATTTCAGAATATATTTAAATTGGAGTGACATATGTGATACATTATCTAACACAAATATTATTCCCTGGCATAAAGGTCCTGAAACAGCTACAGTGAGTCTGTTCTCAGAAGACTTCAGGAGAATGTTGAAAGGCACAGACGATGATAACAAAGTCAGGGCTGAGTTAAGGACATACTTACAGGCAACAATATTTATATATCGGTTCTTGTGCTTATTGTCTGGGTGATTGGAGCTGTCTGCTGTAATACCTAAGTCAGCAGTACAGCTCTGTACTTCCTGTAAAAAAATTGTACGTATAACATTTTAATACATATCTTTTTAAATAAAGTGCCTTAAAATATAATGAAGACAAAACAAACAAAATAGTCTATCCACAAAATTTTACATGTTACAACTATTTCTTGGCTAAAAGAAAATGCAGTGAAAGAATGCCTTACCTGGTAAAACTCTTTCAGTGTCTAATGAGGGAATGAATGCCAAAAAAGTAAAGAAATCAAATTCCACAGCACACGACAAATGAGAAAAAAAAGTGTTCATATTAGGTTTACAATGGAAAACTATGATCATGCAATAAATACACTTGTCAATACTAACAAAACAGAATGTTTCAAACAGATGCATGCAAATCAAAAATTCAAATAATTGTGGAACTTTAAAATTATGCAAAAGTTAACATTTCAAAAAAGGACATAGGGATAATAATATGGTGAAATTTTTAAAATGCACATGAGAAAAACCATATATTTGATGGCACAGTTTATCATATTAGTCAGATTTGGTAATATCCAAATATACTATAATTTGATTACTGTAGCACTATTTGCAACTCTGAATTATTGATACATATTTTTATTTATCTTGAGTAATTTTAAAGAATAAACTGGTTCCTATTAGGTGGTTTGTAATAGATTTAGGGTTGCCAAAATGTTAAAAATCTCCAAAAACTTTTAAATCATACATTCTAGTTTATTTTGAATAAAAATTCAGATGCATTACTTTCTATATATTTAATTAGTGTACCTCTTTTTTAATTTAAACTTTACTGGGTATAGAAAAATTACTTGTAGCAATTATCTCTTAATGTGAACTTAAATCTTTTTTAGAGATGTTTGTTAAGTATATTAATTTGAAATTCACAGTTAATGAAACCTTGTAATTCTTAAGAAAGTATATAACCCAAATATGAACCTGATTCATCAGAAAATGGCTCAGCCTATTTCCAAATAAGCTTTTGCGGATTTTTGTTTTGCAGCAAGTTATCTGATTCTAGATTTAAACACTATTTAATATATGAACCATTTAAGAGGTGTAGCATTATTAGTTATTAAGATAATTATTAAGTTAATGAAAACTTTTCTTGACTCAGACTGTGAGTTAAAAGCAATGGAACTAAGAAAACATATTTTGACTTTATTTTATTAATTTTATTATTACAACAGCTTGATAATATTCAAAAAGATTTTATAGTTGTGAAAGCTATAAATCTGTTTTTGCACAGAGGCTATCAGGAACATTATTATAAATTGTCTATTTTTCTTAATGGCTTTTAATATTTCGGAAATTAGACCTATCCTTGACACATTCTCCCTCTTTCAATTATGATTTTGTTTGATGTGAACCTGATAGGCTTTATGAATTAATGCCATACCACTCAGTAACCTCTCCTGAGGTGAGAAAAATTAATTTGATGTTTTAAATATGTAATTCTTACTATTATCCTACTTGACTTCGTCATTATCTCACACTGCTTTCTTGTTCAATGTAGCCATGACTGAGGTCTCTTTTAAGATTAAATGAATGAACTATTTTTAATTTAGTAAAACCATACCACATTTCATTTCTATTTCCTGTGATTTCTAAAAGCTTTCTAATCTATACCATCTTCCTTCCCTAAACATACCTTGGTTGATGTGACTCTTGGGAAGCAGTTCCTGGGTGCAATGGAAAGAGCGGAACACCCTCTGATCAGGATCAGAGCCCAAAGTGCTTGAAAGAGGGGGCCCAGGAGCATTTGGGGACTCAGGTGGGGAAGACGGAAAAGCAATCTGATACTTCCTAGAGTGGAAGGGTTGGGGGAGGTGGGCTGGAGATCCCTAGCTTTCTGGATTAGAAAGGACATGAACTTTAAAATCACAGACCTAGGTTTGAATCCCAGCCCTGCTATTTATTACTTGTTAATTCATGTTGTGGAAGTGGATTTCACTGGTAATATGAACAGAAATAAAAACAACTTCCAGAACTGGATGAAGGTTGAATGTGGAATCACCTAGTATAATAAATTACCTTATTTTGAAAAATCTGCTAAACTGATAGGTGAATGGGAATATTTCTCTGTCCTGCATAAGAGAATTTTAAGAGATATTACTAGAAAAATTTCACAGAATGTAAAAGTTTAAATGTTTTTTTAGAACTGTATATTTTCTTGAGAAGAAGATGGGATTTTACTTTGTGTAATATTTATTACACCTGTATAATAAATGTTTCTGTGTTTACACTGGTACAATATTTATAACTGAGTTTATATATACTTTGAAAAGCATAACACTTTGTAGTTTACTGTAAATTATATTTAGAAAATTAAAAGGAATCAGTGTTACTAATGCAGATTATTTTTTAAAAGAATGATGGAGATTGTATTTTATGGAGCAGTAACAATGTTTTTAAGTTTTTCCACTAGTACAACATGGCTTTTTAAAATGGAAGACCAATTTTTTAAATAATATGATAACCATTGCACATCTCCTAAAGACATAATGGTTATGGAACTAATAGTCTCATGAGAAATGAAAATGGCTTCAATGTCATTATGTCAAGAAATAGTCTACTGCTGAATCTTTCAACTTTACTATTTTCTATATTACTTAAAATAAATACAGTAAAATCATACCTCAAATTCTTCAGTAAAACCACTACTTGCATGTAAGTCTGCAACATGCTTTGGAAAGTGCTTTATTGGAATTGCTCCAACATCATCTAAGTGAATAAAAAATGAGTTTGGAAAGGATAATTCAACATAAGTGAACATGCTTCTGATTTATAAAGATTTATTAGGTTCCTTCTTCTAAAGCAACTTCAAAGTTTAATTATTTTTATAATCCAAATTTCCAATTTTTTCTGTATTTACTATCAATCATAACCTGCAATTTAAAATTCTAATTTGACCAAGAATCCCTTTCCTGCTTCTATTGTAAAGAGAAAACAGTTAATTCTCAATGTTAAATTATAAATATCACCGAAGCTTCACTTCTTATCAGCAAACTGCATCTCTTCATTGGTAACTCTCTCTAACATGAGTGGGAGTTGCATTCTAGGGAAAATGCAAAAATAATATGCTATCAAATTTACCATAGACTAACATGATATACAGTGCAATTTCAGTTTTATAAAATTGTATAGCTAATGTCTTACTGTTAAATAGTCTGATTTTTATAGTTGAAAACATTTTCCCCTCACTTTATAAATAATAGGGAACATTTATATGTGGACTATTCACTGAAAATGCTGTCCAAAATGTGTGGGATTTTGGATCTTGAATATTTCAAGAATTTTAACTTGAAAATATGCTACATAAACAAAGTCATCCGATCTGTTAATTAATTGTGAAGAGGACAAGTTATTTCAACAGGCTCTATTTTATTCCTGGAAAGAATTTCTCAAATTAAACATATTACTAGTTCACAGTATGCAATTTCACAAGTGATTTCTCTGACAAGGAAACATCAAACACATTTCACTAGAAACAGTTATTTACATCAACAGATGTTCAGCATCTAAGCCATTTAATATTTTAAGCATCAGTTACTAAGAATTAGTTGATTAAAAAAAATAGAACCCATCTGTTCTCTCTCTTAGATGTCTGTACCTGAATACTAAACTTGAATTAGCCAGTTAAGCTTAAGAGACACTAAACAAAGATGTAATTTCACCTTCACACCTACAGAAGAATCTTGCCTGAATGTAGCTGTTCTTACCTATTTATAAAATAGATAAGAATCCAGAAATAATTTGTCATATCAAAATCATTGGTTCTTCTACTACAGGTCCTTCTATTCATTGATATTATCCTGTACAGGCAACTTCTATGCACAAGCAAATTGATTATTTTTTATCATGGGTTATTTTGGTAGTTTAATGAATTGGTCTGCAAGTAAGACCCACGTGTCTTTTTATTTTCTGACCTGATGTGAAAATGTACCCATTTGGGGGATCAGGGGTGCACTTCTGAGAGCTGCAGGTGAAAAGAGGAGATGCTCTTGATCACTACTCTAAGAAGCAGAACAAGGATTTTGGATTTCCCAAACAAGGAACTGATTGTGGATAAGTTTTGTATATCGTTAGTAATAACCTGTGCTAGATTTTGGATAATACTAGGGTTACTTTGCACACCAATGCTGTCGGGGTATATAGAAGAGGTATATTCGAAAGTGAAGGGACTCAAAATGCAATAGATAACAGAGCTGTCAATCTCAAAATTACTAATATGTTAATGAGAAACTGTTGTACTAAAATAAATACACAGACGTTTGATATAAACTAGAAAATAGAAATAAGACAGTAGCAATTGACAACATAGAATGATGAAAGATAAAAAAGCCAAACATTTTTGATACCTATGCCACTGAAAATGACAAAGAAAATAGTTTTCTCCTCTTTTCTTGTATTTTTAAAAGTATTTTTTATTGATCATGCTATTACAGTTTTCCCAATTTTCTCCCTTTATCCTCCTTCTGCTGCATCCCCCAGCTCTCCAGCATTCCCCATAGTTCATGTCCATGGGTTGTACATATAAGTTCTTTGAGTCCCCTGTTTCCTATATCATTTTTATCTCTCCCCATCTATTTTATGCCTACTAATTATGCTTCTTCTCTATACCCCCCCGTTCCTCCCTTCCCCCTTCCTACTGAAATCCCTCTGTGTGATGTTCATTTCTCTGATTCGATTCCTGTTCTAGTTATTTGCTTAGTTTTTGTTTTTGTTTTTTTCTTTTAGGTTCATTTGTTGATAGTTGTGAGTTTGTTGTCATTTCACTGTTCATATTTTTTATCTTCTTTTTCTTAGATAAGTCCCTTTCACATTTCATATAAAAATAGCTTCGTGATGAGGAACTCTTTTAACTTGATCTTATCTGGGAAGCACTTTATCTGCCTTTCCATTCTAAATTATGAAAGCTTTGCTGGGTAGAGTAATCTTATATGTAGGTCCTTGCCTTTCATGACTTCTTTCCAGCCCTTCTTGCATCTTTTGAGAAATCTGCTGATAGTCTTATGGACACTCCTTTGTAGGTAACTCTCTCCTTTCCTCTTGTTTCTTCTAGGGTTCTCTTCTTATCTTTAATCTTGGGTAACTTAATGACGACATGCCTTGGTGTGTTCCTCTTTGGGTCCAAATTTTTTGGAACTCTCTGGGCTTCCTGTACTTCCTGGAAGTCTATTTCCTTCACCAGATTAGGGAAGTTCTCCTTTATTATTTGTTCAAATAAGTTTTCAATTTCTTGCTGTTGTTCTTCTCTTTCTGGCATCCTTATAATTTGGATATCAAAATACTTCAGGTTGTCCCAGAGGTTTGTAAGACTCTCTTCACTTTTTTGAATTCTCGTTTCTTCATTTTGTTCCAGTTAGATGTTTATTTTTTCCTTCTGTTCCAAATAATTGATTTGAGTCCTGTCACTATTGGTTCCCTGAATATCTTACTTTATTTCACTTTGGGTATCCTTCATTTGTTTTTTAATTTTTTTCACCAAGCTCAATCAGTTCTGCCAGCATTTTGATTTCCCGGCTTTAAGTTATCCATTAGACAGGTTGGCTATCTCCTCATCGCTTAATTTTTTTTCCTGAGGTTTTGCTCTTTTCTTTCATTTGGGTCATATTTATTTGTCTGGGTACACCAGCTAAGTTGTAAGGGGGTGGGGCCTTAGGTATTCATCAGGGGAGGGCAACCCTCTTCATTGTGCTGCAGGCTGCCTGTGGCAGAGGGGCCAGAGAGGAAGCAATGCAGCTCACCTGCTCTGCTCTAGCCTCACTTTCCAACAAACTCTCCTGTGAGACCAGGAGTTTCTCCCACTTTGGCAACCCCTGCCCTAGTCAACAGTCAGCTCTGAGTCTCAGTTTCCTGTTCAAGCAGCCCCGCCCACATGGACCACGGCCTTGCGGTTCTCTCTGTCCACCTGTCTTACTGGTCGGGTTGGTCTGGTTGATTGTTTCTTTAATTCCTCGGATGTTGGAGTTCCATGCAGTTTGATTTTCTGGCACTTGTGGTTTACTGATTTTAGATTGGTTGTTATCCTCCTTTTGGTTGTGCGAGGAAGCCAAGGGTTTCTACCTACACCTCCATCTTGGCTGGAACTCTCCCTCTTCTATTTTTTAAATCATGAAATTTCAGAAGATACTTTTAGGTAGAACTTGGGTCTTTAGCAATAATATATGTAGTGCCAGAACATTTATAAAACTTTCTGTAAAATGACCATTTGGATGAGTTTTTCCTTTTGATTTCCTTGATTTGGTGACTGTCCATGTCTTGATCTCACCCTCTATCTGTGCTTCTTTCATAGGCTCCTCATTTCTAACTACTTTTTTGTTACCACTTTCATTCTGGAATATTATACAATATTAATTAAATAAGTGTCTATGAACTTAGTGTGAACTGAACTCTAGGGTTTGCTGGGTGTCTTAATCAAAATGACACTGCAGTTCTCACATATTGTTAACCAGGCTAGTTCTGATATTAAATAGTTGATGTTTCCTTAATATATTTAAGAAACTTTTTCTCACATAAACTCAAATGGTCAGATGGGACCAAAACTTTATCCTGATTTTTGTAATCTTGTCCTACCCACCCTACTGCCTTGATTTAGTCTTTTTGTTATTTAAGTTTCCATTAAAGTAGCTGAAATGACTGAAACTCAGCATTATTCTTTTTTAGCATCATTCCTAACTAATAGGTTACTGCCATGAATGTTTGTTCTTTGACATATTCCATCTGAAAATTATAAATTATTTTTCCAAATCATGTGTATGGTTAAGAATGTTCAAAATTTCTGAGAACAACTTATAAACCTGGGGGCCTGATACATTCAGTAATACGTACTGAATTCAGTAATACGTTTGGGCAACACAAATATTTACTGAAGTATATTATAGTCATTTGCAAAGTATTCCAACATGGACAGACCTTCCAACATTTTGCTTCTCATTCAACATCTGCCAGATACTCATGATCACACATTATGCTATTACCTGAAATTGGAAAAATAGGGGATGAAGGTGTGGATATTACTCGAGGAGAAGTACTGTCCTCCAAATAAAAGTGTGCTGTCTGGAAGCATTTCCTGGAAAGTAAAAAAAGAAATTTATACTTCTAGCTATCACAGATAATATGACAACTTCTGAGATGCTTGAAAATTATGACAGAAATCAAACATAATTATGAAAATTATGACAGAAATCTTCAGAATCAAACATAAGTTCAAATCTGTATTGATTTTATAAAATTCAAGGTATTAAAGAAATTTATGGCCTCTAAATTTATCTCAGCTTTACCTGTACCAGATGCAAAAGAGCAAGCAAATTGATACCAGGCATGCTGAAAGCAGAGATGGCATGCGAAGTTGTAGTTGGTGCCGAGTAGTGCTTTGCCAAGATAGAACACCTCAATACCCTAGTCACTCTTCCACTGTGGCTGTATACCAGCATCTTGCCACCTTAGACAGGATCACAGTGGGAAGGAATGCGTGTTCACAGCTATTTTCATTCAATATTTTTGTGACTAGGTCCTTCTGAGCATATTCAGCTTCTAGGAAAGGGCAGCCAGCTATGACCATGTAAAAACAAAATTTCCACAGTGATAACATTTTGATGAGAAAGCAGGCAGCTTTATACTGTAAATATGATAATGCACTAATGACAGAAGTGAGGAAATAATGAGCATATATTTTACAATACATTTGTTTTGTGCTTATTACATTTTTAAGGAATATGGGACTATGTCTTTTGATTTATGTAAACCCAACAGGAGTATAACAGGTATGAAATGTTGAAGGATGAGATGAAGTTTCAGGAGCAAGTAAAACCACCAACCGTAAGTTATCCACAGATACATTCTAGACTCTCTTGTCTACCTGATCCTCAAATGAAATAACTTAAAATCTCAAAACATTAGCTAGAAAAAGATGAATGAATCAATGGTTCAGTGGATGGATAAATAGATAGAGGATGTGTCTCAGAGAATGGGAAGAAGGCTGAATCTCAACATAGGAAAGCTAAATTAAAGCATATTGGTGTTGAATTCTAACATGTTGCTAAAACAACAACTCTACTTTTCCCAGCTATGTAAGCAGATATTCTTTCGCTTTAAAAAATAAGTGGTTCAATAATGTTACTTGCATTAACTAGTAAAAAAGAACCTGATAAATCATACCCAAAAGCTTGAAAGTGTGAAAATTAAAACAGTGCAGGCTAAATTCTGGATGAAGGGCATCTGTGTATTGCTTTGGTGTACTGTATAGGACAGTTTCACCTAGGAAGTGACTTTCTACTTAAATAGCAGCATGGTACATGCTGGGAGGCTGCTATTATGGGGTGGTAGCTCCACTTGATGGCCCACAAACTTGCATTTAAGATCAAGAGAGAATATGAAATGTTTTTCTTTCCCCCACAACTCCAGCCCCAGCCAAAACAATGTGTCTATGGACAGTTCCTTTCCACATGGTTTTTGTTGCAATGTTGTTTTACTGAATATATCTGTGGTATTTTTTAAGATTCTAATTACTAAAAAATCTCTAAAAAATTTGTCTTCTTTAAAAACAACTTTTTGAAAAGCTTCCTTATTGAAGTAATTTTGTATCTTGGCTCATGCAAATATACCTTAAAACATCTGGAAAATAATATCAAGTCATACTACTTAAGGCATGAAAAGATTCAATATCTATAGTCCATCTGTTCTGTATAAGCAGTGAATATCTTCACATCTATGTGCTAAGTGTTGATAACTATGTCTCCTGCTAATTATCACTCAACCATGAAGAAAAAAGTGCCGACTGTTTTAAACTTGTAGACACAGGTCCCATCAATCAATGTTAATCTGATTATTTAATTTACACCTTTTCATCACAGTAAGCATTGGAATTGAAAGCTAGGGATGTATAATTATTATTCTATTTTATAGACCCATATATACATATGAAACAATATTCATCAGAATGTATTCATAACAAAAACGTGGAAGAAATTATGACTGAAATCTTTATGATGATCTAGTGAACCTTCCCACTGAATGGCAAAAATAGAAAACCAATTCCTAGGTGGGTCAGTGACATGCCCAAGACCATATAGGAAATGCCAGGTTGAACTGGGAGGGGCACCCAGATTTTATCACCTCTAATTTTTTCCTATCTTCTTGCTACAACATGCTTTCTCTCCAGGTTTATACAAAGCATGGGGAGCCACCTTGAGTTAGGTAAATCGGACAAAAGAGAGGATTTATCATAACATCCGAGGTTACAGTTTCTCCTGAAAAAGTAGGATAAGAAAATGTTTAAATATATAAACTTGGAAACACTTCTAAGCGCCATGTTACCTTTCGGACTCTCGTTGGTGTGAATTTAGGCCTTTCTTCAGGCTGCAGTTTCCAGAAAGGCCTAAAGCGTTTCCAAATTGGCTAGTGCAATCATTTTGCTTACAAATGCACCTACACTGGATTTTGAATAATTCACACAAATCCTGAAGAATGCACTAACACCAGCATTTGGTAATTTAGTAAATGATAGTCCTACTGGGTTACTGATATAAAAAGTCACATTTCAAAGTGATTTCACTGCAAGTGGGTGTGAGTTATGGCAGATATATTAAATTTTGAAATAGGTAAGTAAAAGTGACAAATCTTACCAGTCAGAACAATTGATAGATATAAAATAAATACATAAAAGTATTAGCGACTCCCTTTTCACAAAAAAAAGCATTAGAAGACTCGTAATTATTTCCATGTTATAACTTTAAACCATCTGACATCTTTATTGGAAGTTTATTCTATCACTAGTTACTATGAAGTAGCATTTGGTCCTGTTTTCCATCTTATTTTGAGTTTGTTTAACTCCAATTCCCACTAACTTCAAAAATTGATTGGCAGGGAAAATTAGATTAGATGTAAACCAGTCATCTAAATAAACGTGATATCAATGTTGGTAAGAAGGGGGGATAACAAGCCCAGTGGGGAGAAAAGCAATATGAAGAGCAAACATTTGTGAATTCTGTATGTGTTCTTGGGACTTGGTTGAGCATGGAATCTTCTGTGAAAAGAGTCTTGACAACTATAGAAATTACTGAAGAAAGCATCTTCATTTGCATCAAGTTATGGAGAAAAAGACACTTAACCCATGTAGGATAATGAAAGTGTGATCTGCAGTCTACTCTGTTCTATAAAGGAAGTCAGGTAGGAAATGCAGCTGGCCATGAAATCATTCCGTCTTAGCCAACCAATGTGCAACCACACGTAGGGACATGCCGTAGGCTTCACTGTCTCAGATGCACTCAGCTCATCCTGCTTCCCAGCCTTCTTCCCTCCTGCTTGGAATGCCCTTCTCCCTTGCCTGCACTTTCTGAACTCTACCCAGCTCAAGCACGACATTTTATATTTACCCTGCCTATTCTGGCCTATTAAGATCACTTGGTCTCTTTTACCTTTATCTCTTTTAAAACTTTTAGCTTTAGAGGCTTGAATGCCATGCATATACTTTTGTCATATTTTAGATACTTTTCATGAAAAATTATTTTGCTTCAATAAGCATAAATTTCTTAACAGGAGTGACTGTCATTCTTTTTTAAATTTTCGTTTTTAGATAGAGGGGAAGGGGAAGAGAAAGAGAGGGAGAGAAACGTCAGTTCCCACACACCCCTCACTGGGGACGAGGCCCACAACCCATGCATGTGCCCCCGCTGGGACTCGAACCAGCAACCCCTTGGTTCACAGGCCCATGCTCAATCCACTGAGCTACACCAGCCAGGGCTCTTCCATCCATTTTTGAATATTTTCCTATAGTAGTTAACATAGCCCTGGGTACATGGAAAACAGTCAATTCACACAATAAATATTTCTGAATGAAATGAGAGGATGCATTTTGGGATAACACATAAAAAGTGGTGATATGTACTTATAGAAGAATGTTACTAAGCAAAGAGTAGTTAATTTTAGATCTTTTGAATGAAGATCTTTTTTTAAAACAGAAGTATAAAGTACTAAGCTATGCCCTTTCTTAGTTTACAGATATGATTCCTTATATTATCATAAAGTCCTTGTTTTGCAACAGACCCAGTCATAACACTGATCCTACTTACATTGTATCCCTATTCAACTTTCTAATTTACTGTGTGTTCATCTTGCTATAGGGTGGGAAGCTAATGAGGGCTGCAATTTTCCTTGTTTTTCAAACATTTTAGTAGGTGATTGATTAGAATGAAGCTACTTTTGTCCTCAAGGCAAATTAAAATAAATTTAAAAATCACAGGTATCTTAATATAGTCATTAAGTTTATTTTCTAATTATATTTATATTTGAAATGCTTGATATTTACTTGTATGTATAGGGTATTATTTTCAGATTTTATTTATTTTCAGAGAGAGGAGAAGAGAAGGAGAACAGAGGAATAGAATCATCAATGTGCGGTTGCTTCTCATGTGCCCCTCTGCTGGGGACCTGGCCTGCAACCCAGGCATGTGCCCTAGACTGTGGAGTGAACCAGGGACCCTCTGATTCATAGGCCAGCACTCAATCCACCTAGCCACACCAGCCAGAGTAGGGTATTATTCTTTGTTATTAGTATGTAGTTGATGTGCCTCTCATAAAAGATTCTGTTCTTAAAACATTATTTTTACTATATCAATAATTATGTTTTCCTGCCCTGGTCATTTGGCTCTGTTGTTCCTGCCCTAGCCCGGTGGCCCATTTGGTGGAGTGTTGTTCTGTACACCACAAATAATTGTGGGTTTGATTCCTGGTCAGGGAACATACCTAGGTTGTGGATGCAGTCCCCAGTTGGGGCACATACAGGAAGCAACTGATTGATATTTCTCTTTCCTGTCCTTCTTCTCCAAAAATCAATAAGCATATCCTCAAATGAAGATTACAAAATTATGTTTTCCTAAATGATAACTTTAAATGTTAGATTAATATGAAAGTGCAACTGTCAAGATACTGTATTATATAAAACAAAACCAAAGGTCCTCCATTTTACCTTCAATTGTTTGACTTTAGTGTGAAGAAAAATCAAACCCTTTATTATTATGTCTCTGGATTATAAATTCACCTATTCATAGTTGCCTGGATAAATTAAGGGTAGCACTCAAGGAAAAGGATTTTTGAATATGCTTTGAAGAACTTTCAAGTATAAAACAGGCAAAAATCTGAGCTTTATGAAATACATTCCCAAAACAAACACTCGACTTACCTCCAGTAGATGAGAATACCCACAAGAACCGCTAGACAGATAAACGTCAGGGCTGACACAACCACGAGAGGTATAACTGCCTTCTTCTCGGACTCCAGCCCCTCAGCTAGACCAACACGAGACTCATGGCTACTATTACTGGCTTCTGTGTTGGAGAAAATGGAGAGAGTTGATATTTAAACTTTAAGTTACAACATTTTTCAACTAAATAATTGCCATCTTCATCTGTTGCCCACCTTTAAAATTTTGACTGTAAGATGCAAAGAATGTCTATGACTTCAAGCAAATTTAAGTATGACAAAATTTAAAAATAAGGTGGGTCATCAGACCCAAAGACCTAAAACATCCTAACAGAGATTTGCACCCAGGTATGAGAGTCATGGCAAGAAATGAGCATAATACTGACTTGAAAAGGTTGTTAAAAGGCAAATGGAATTATTAAAATAAGAAAACTACCCAGCGTTTAAATAAAAACAATCAGGAAAACAGTGCTACTTACTGAATCACCATATAAAATCTTGATTTTCCAAACTTAACTTTAAAGGAATTATTTTAAAGCCTGCAATCAGGTAAATAATTAGGAGTAGTTAATAATTTTATTGAAAGAGAATTTTAGGATAACCCTTCTCACAGCAAAATGACCCTTAATTAAGATAATCAGCACATTATTTAAAATTTAAATGTAGGATGCATTATGCTAATTGAAATAAGCCACTCAGAGAGATGCAAATACCATATGCTTTCACTCATATGTGGAATCTAATGAACAAACTAAACTAAGAAGCAAACTGAGACAGATTCATAGATGGAGAGCTGGCCAACAGCTCTGGGGTTGGGGTGGGGTAAGTAGATTGAGCAAAAAAGGGAAAAGAATTCATGGACGTGGACCACAGAGGGGTGTAAGAGGGTATGGGGGGATAAATGGTAATGGATAAAAATCTTTTATGAAAAAGGCTAAATTCTCTCCTTGGGTTCATTTAAAAGATGACAAAACACTATTTATTGTGACCAAGCAGGTGTGCTATTGTTCTAGCACTTTCAATGTCACTGCTTCCTGAGCTATCCTTTCCAGCTGCTGAAAAGTTTCACAGCCACAGGGGGTCAGTGGCCAGTCACCACCTTCCTTCTGCTTCAAGGAGCCTGCAGTGGGAAACGAAGGGGCCTGAATGCTAGAACTGCTCTGCCACGACGGATGCTGCTGACGCCACTGCCTGTCCACCTGGAGAAGTTTTGAAAGAACTACATTTAAATTCTCTGTGAAAGTCTACATTGCTTCCTACACAAATGGCACATTTGGTGCTGTTATACTAAGTACCTTACTATTAATGATATGAGATGAAAGGGTTCAATTGAATTTTAAATATTTTTAGAGTAACAAAAGTGCTTAAACATAGCATTAAAATATGTCTAATGCAGAGAACTTAAGATTTAAAACAATAGCCTCCTTCTGTAACTTGATAGTGTAAAAACGGCCAAGAAATTAATCTACTCATGGGGGTCAAAGGCATATAAATGTCACTCAAATTTCTCAAAATGTTTGTTCTTATAACAATGGAAGCATTAGCTAGAAAAATATAGAATTCAAAGATGTGCCTAAAAATCATAAAACAGAAAAGTGGAAATAGTCTAAGTCACTGACACCTAAGCTGTAATTAACACACCTGTGACAGAAGCCTCAAGCTTACTTTCTATTTTGTTAATCATGTGCTCTGGTAATCATGTATTATGGTGAGGTTCATCTAAAAAACGAATTAATCTGATGGTGAATGCATTAAAAATGTCTTTATGAAATTTACAAAGGCACCTTGATTTATACATAATTGTCTTTGCATTTTTCTCCTGTAACCATCGTTATCTAAATAGAAAGTCTGTGGGGAATAAATGAAATCACCCATTTAGGAAAGTCCCTGGTACCTGGTACCCTGTAGTGTTATCTGTATCAGTCATTCTTGGAGTGCAGTCCCCAGAATAGTAGCACTGGCTTCATCTGGAACTTGTTAAAAATGCAAATTTGGGGCTTGTCCTAACTACCCAGATTTGCTGACTCAAACTCTGTGAGGCCTTGGCCTGGTAGCTCAGTTGGTTGGAGGGTCATCCCTATACACTAATGTTGTGGCTTAGATTCCTGGTCAGGGCACATACAAGATTCAAATGCACAAACAAGTAAAATGAGTCAGTGTTTCTCTCTCCCTTCCTCTCTCACTGAAAATCATTACAATTTTTTTAAAGAAGAAACTGTGGGTAAGGTGCAAAAATCTGTTTTAGCAAGTCCTCCAAGTGATTCTGGTTCACATTCAAGTTTGAGAACCAATGCCATACATTAATTTACATACAAAGCTAGCTTATATAATAACATAGATCTTCAATGGCTACAAATATTCATAACAATATGTATATTAGTATATATAGATGCACAAATATCTCATTTTAGATGTGCATACATATGTATGAGATATGTCTGATCATAATGTGCTATATAAGATATAACATATAACATGTAACAAATTACTGTATATGCCATATACACTATATACATACACTTGTGAACACATATACTTTTATGTAAATATTTTCTTTTAAGTTTCCTGGGATGTTGAATTTTAAAATAAACCAGAGACCTGGAAATAAAGAACAAACTGACAGTGACCAGAGGGGAGGGGGGAGGGCGTAATGAGGGAAAGAAGGGGAAGGGTCACCATGGAACATGTATAAAGGACCCATGGACAAAGACATCAGGGTCGGGGGAGGACTGACTGTGGGAGGTGGGGGTGGGTAGGGCAGGGGAGAGTAATGGGGGAAAAATGGGGACAATCATGATTGAACAACAATAAAAAATAAAAATAAGATAAAAAATCTGAAAAAAAATAAACCCTTCAATTGAGAAGACAGAATGATAAATCCATGGTAATTACATGTTATGAAACCTAGGCATTTTATTCCAGATGGGATACTATATGAAAATGCACACAATCGACCAATTGCTTTGTATATTATGACAATTCATTGTCTTGATTTTTATATCCATTAGTTGAGACTAAAATAATTATTTTTATATGTCTCAGTAGAATATGTGAGTTAACTAAATAATAAGAATCTACTAATAGATAATTAGGGAAAAAAGCACTAAGATTAATACCTTAAAGTACCCTTTCAGAATAAAACAGTATAATTTTGGTATTACAAATTAAGCATTATACACATAAGTTAACGTCTACAATCGTGAAAGCCTAGTGCTAAGATACAGACATCGGCCACCCAGGCTTCCAGTCTCACTTTCCCTAACTGACCCGAACCATGTAATCCAGTGTCTTTGGGTCTCGGCGTATGCAGTCATATATTGCACATACTCATATTCGGCTTACCTATATTATTTGATGAACATGTCTTATAAGTTATTCTACATTTTAAAAATACATAATTAAATTATAAGTTTTAGAATTAGTTTATATACATTTGATAAAGTGGCATATTCAATTATTTGATGACATACTACATATGATTTTTTACAGATGGAGAATTAACAACAGGCCATAACTTCCCTAATCTTGTTCTATCTCATTTAAGTCATAAATTAAGTTACTTGATGATATTGGATGCAATATTCATATTGTTTTCTCCTCACCTGTGGGAGAACATATTCTCAATTAAATTAGGTAAGATTTATTGAAGAGAAATTGCTAAACTTTAGTCAATTAACTCTAAGCTTGGTATGTCCTATATATTGTCTCCCTCTAGAAGATAATCTACCAAGAACATCTCACTAATGTCACTGCCCAGCGAGACAGAAAAGCAGGTGGACTCCTAATATGTTTCTCTGAGACATCTAATTAAACATTTTTTAAAACTATTATAGTTGGAATGAAAAATATTTTTTTTCATTTTCAAGAAAAATTTACATATATTTTCATTCCTAGTAAATATGATGACCTATTGGTTCATTATTAATTCTCACATAAGGTTTAAATTTTTAAAGTGGAATGCAATGGTAAATAGTATCAAGTCAGAATACTTAGACAATTTCTCTATTAAAATGTACAAACTTTTCATTGCTGCTATATTGAAAGAAAAATCTACAATTAATTGAAGGGAAACAACAAATCACAAAAGAGAGAAAATATCCTAATGAGATTAGTGTCTATGTTTTGGATCACAAATATTCACCTTTACAGAACAATAGTTCAAGATGTTACTTTAGCCTGTCTTTTAACTTACTATTAAGATTTAAATATTTTCATTTTAAACTTAAAGTGCCTGAAAATTAAAATTTAAAAAATTATAAAATTCTTATGATCAATTTGATAAAATTACCTAGTATTTTATATGCTTAATGGTATTGAATTTCCCCTTTCTTTGGCATTTAAAGCAAACATCTGTATTATATATATTGCCAGTAACATGCTGTAAGAAACACCTGGCCAATAAACTAATTTGCATAACATACATTAATAAATGAAATGCCTTTCTACAGAAAATGCTCTAGTGTCTTACATCCTGTCATATAATACCTATGCATACACTGCACATTAATGCCTGTTATTTAACTTAGGTGTTTAACAAGTACAAAATACAGTGTTTTGTTAGTTTACACTGCCCCCTTTAGGCAGCATTAAGGTAATGAGTCACAATTTTTAAAAATTAAAACCTTGTTTAAAGAAAAATCTTACCATTTACTCTCCAAACTTAGTAATAGAACTTTTCTTACAGCTCCCAAGCTATGCAGTACAAATTATGTAATTCCTTTTCATGGGGCAGAGTACAGAGAGGTGCTTATATAACTCTCAGAACTTATAATTCACTTTTTAATTTAATAGAGTTTGTTTACAACTTATTTTAGAGCATGAGTAAGTATGAAAATTAAAATAACCTAAAAAAGCACACTCTAATATATCATTTAAAAATCAGTATACTAAAAATGTATTAACACATAATTGCTCCCACATATAACAGGAATCTTGTAGAATATGAAAAGTTGACAATAAATAAACATGTTTATCTCCTTTGCAGGGAAGTAAATACCAAAACAAACAGAACTTTTTCTTGTAGATTCAGAGAACAAACTGATGGCTGTCAGAGAGGAGGGGGACAGAAAGATGGATGAGAAAGGTGAAGGGCAGTAAGAGGCACAACCTTCCACTTATGAAATAAATAAGGCACAGGGATGTGTGTACAACACAGGAAACAGGGTCAGTGATATGGTAATAACACTGCACAGTGATGGACCACTAACAGACTTGTCATGGTGATCACATGGTAAGGTACATAAATGTCAAATCCCTGTGTTGTACATCTGAAACACACAACACAATATGCCAACAATACTTTAATAATAAAAAAGTATATTGAGCATTCATTTGAAGTAATGAATAAAATCATACTTTGAAAATGTAAACTAATTAGATGTTTTGATTAAAAATTAATGTGCCATTTTACCAAATTTCTATCTTTCATGTTTTTCTATTTTTTTTTGAGAATGAACACCATCATGCCTCAGTCTATCCCTTTGATCCATAACTAACCTGCCTCTGAAATGTTGAACACTTCTGAGTGCCTGCCAGTAACAGTTGGTGTGGAGGACTCTGGGGACTCAGGAGTCATTTCTGAGTCACCTGCTTCCAGGACCCCGTCAACATCTCTTTCATTGACATCTGGAAAACTGAAATCTGTGGAAGTCTCGTTGTCATTGAGGCTATCTGAGGGACTTTGCCCTGATCCACTTTCTTCATCGCTTGTAGGAACTGCCCAGGCTTTAGATTCTGGGATGAAAGCAAGCAGGACACCAGTCTGAATGTCATTGTCCTGTGTTCCATCACTGTGCTTTTGGGAGAGCATGTTTGTTAATGGTGATTTATTAGGACTTCTGTCCATATCAGTCTGACTTTCTGAGGGCACACCTGTGACTTTATTTTCTTCTTCAGATTTCTCAGATAGTGGATGTGAGATTGGGTTATTCTGATCCACAAGATTGTTCTCCTGGGGGTATGAATCATTCATTACCTTTTCCTGGGATTCTCTATAGGAGGAGCATATCATACACTTATTTACAGGTAAACCATTTCTATCTCTGTCACCATCATCATCATCATAATCATCAGTAACATCCTCGTCATCACCACCCACTAACTCAGCATCAGATCTGGCACTATGAGTTGGCTTGGAAGTTGCTTTAGAAGGAAATGGCAACTTGGTTGTGTTAACAGAGCCATCTTTGTTGGGAGAAAGAGCTGTAATGGAATCATACACATTTCCTAAAGGAACAGAATGATCAGCAGTCACAAGTGTATCAGAAACAATTGTTGGAGTACCAGCCAGTACCTCCTTGGCAATGAAACCCTTGGTGGAAGTGAAAACTTCATCAGAATACACAAGCTCATTTATAGGTGTATTCAGAGGTCCATCCACAGAAAAAGCAGGAGTAGCAAATGCCTGCCTTTCTTTTGGGGGAACAGCATGGCTAATGTCCAAACTGGCAGTTTGGAACAACTTATCATTACCAGACAATGAAGGCATCACTTGCTGGGAACCTTTACTTTTAAGCAAAACTTGTTCAAAATATTCCTTATTTGTATAAGAAATGGTTAAACCTTGAAGTGAAGCAGCAGGCATATTAGAAGCAGGAGGTACATCAAAAACTGGTACAGGTGTAGAATGCAGCATGTTTTCACTTGAAGCAGATTCTGCTGCCACAGGATGGGATACTGTAGGACTAATTTGATCACCCTTGGGGGTTTCAACCAATATTAGATCACTAGGTACGGCTGGAAGAGCAGTTTTAAGCAATGTGTCAACATCAGAATCCTGAAAAGAAGGTTGCAGCAATACTAGTTCAGTGTTAAAAGAAGGTGAGGCCTCATAAAATAAGAGTTGAGTTGAAGGAGATAACCTTGCACTAGAAGCAGGGTCAGAGGATGCTGACTCTGAGTTTACATTAAGTACATGTTTAAGAGAAGTATCACCAGATGCTTGCGATAGAGAGTGTGTAGGTTGAACTGAAAACTTATTTTCTGGAACTTGACTAACCTTATGATCAAAAGGTTTATTGGTAGTATAAGCAAGAGAGCCTGGAGGAATGTCCTTTGCATTAGGTAAGAAAATGGGGGGTTCTTGTGAGGATGCATTCAACCCATTTACATTATTGTACAGGCCAGGCATGACTGTGCTTTCAGAATGGTAACCCATCTCACTGAAAGAAGAAATGTGCAGTTCAGTCTGATTTCCATCTATTATGTCACTTTGGGAAAGCAGCTTATTATCATACCCCAACACAGATGTGTGATATGTAAATTCAGCTACAGACACAGGTGAAGAAATGTTAAAGGCTGTCAGACCATCTGTATCAGGTAAAAGAAATTTGCTATCAGAGGAGGTTCCAGACCATTCCCCATCACCGGAGAGGCCATGAGTGGGCTGCAGCAATGAGGTGGTTGGCGTTATTAACGAAGACCAAGGCATCAGTATGTGGCTAGGGTTGCTAAATAAGGAACCCTGATGAGACACATTGACAGAATCATGCACAGGTACTGCAGAACTGTAAGAAACAGTGAGGAGGGGTTGGGAGCCTGCATTATTAGATAATGCATAGGAAGGTTCAGGCCCTGAAGAATGTGCATGCGTCATGACATCACTGCTGGATGGCTCAACTTGAGAAAATACATGCGCTTTATGAAGGACACCAGCTCCGCCACCACCAAATTCCAGTGTCTCTGAAGCAGCATGAGTCATGGTCTGATGTGACACCACCTCAGAATATTGAGCAAGGCTGGGCTCTAATTGTACATCACCCCCAGCCACTGGCAGAGAAGCATGCAGGGACACCTTATCACTCTCCACAGCAGAAGTAACTTGTGGAAGGATTTGAGAAACTGTAGACAGATGGCGAAACAATTCACTACTGAAGGAAGCAGAGGAAAATGGAAGCAGAGTTGTGCCATCATAGGAAGACAGGATGGATTCAAATGATACATCAACACTGGGAAATACAGGCGTAGCATGCAAGGCTGAATCACTACTTGAAGCGGCAGCGGGAGTGTTGAGAATCTGACTGTCAAGCAACAAAGGGGTGACTAGAGGAAAGACTTCACTACTGGAGGAAGGTTGAAGAGGTGTCTCACCGTTGTATACTGGTTGAGTTGTCTGCGAGTGTACCATGTTGACAGTGGTAACTGAACCGTGCTGTTTGGAGGATGGAGTGAAAGCATGAGGTGTTACCTCAGTCGGGAAGTAGGCAAAGGAAGAATAATGTGGCATTTCCATATCTGTGGCTGAGGGACTCTGTGACACCGGAGGGCCTAGAGAAGAGGACTCAGTTATCTTCTCAGATCTGTTACTGCGTGTTTCAGTGTGGTTAGTCTGGAGAAAGTCCTCTCTACCTGATCCAACATCGGGCTGTGTCCTCACATCTGTAGTGCTAGGAAACCACACATTTCCATCAGTGGAAGGATCCTTTAGAGAGTCTTCTGAACCTGATGAGGCGGAATCTTCTGAAACATTTCTCATAGATTCTGGTGTTAAGACATCATATGTGATTGGCTCTGGGTTTTCTGAAGAAAATACATACCCATGGGATATGATCTCAGAGATGAAGGGCACAGCAGTAGTTGTGGGACTGGAGCCTGAAGAATCATCAGCTCCTGTATCAAGCTTAAAATTGGTCAATAAATGCTCATCATCACTGATATCAGTAGATACCTCTTGAAATTCCCTTACAGAAACTGTACTTAAAGATTCCATAGTCCCAGACAAGTTCACCTGTGGAAATCTGACAGTTGTAGAAGTTGAAGTGCCTTCCAGAATGTGAGGTGGCAGATTGATCACAGTCTGTGAAGTCAAAGAAACATCCTTTTCTAGAGCTAATTCGGTGACTGGTTGGGAAGTAGCATCTAAATATTTGTTGGGAATATCACCCTTTCCAGAGAATTCACTTCCTCTTGTTGGGGGTTGGTTAGTCTTGGCCTCATTGTATTGAGTCCCTCTGTGATTGTAGTTTGTTGTGGTGGAAATCTGGGGTTCCTTTTTTCTTATTTGATTTGTGCCACTCTCTCTGCCAGGATTCACAAGAGCATCTTCTTCAATGTCTTTTTCCTCTTCTTCCTCCTTTGAAAAGCAAACAAGATTTAATGGAATATAAAGAAATAAGAGAAAAACTAAATCTTGATAACATCTTATACTGTATTATACTGTTAATCTTCATAAAGCATCATCCCATAGAAGCCATTCCTCTATCCTGTAACCTTCATTACCCACCTTCTAGAAAGTAATTAAACTTAATGCAAATGTAAAATTTATAGTTGCCTTTATTTTAATGCTATGAAATGAAAGATTAAATTAATTTCAGCTTTGAAAGGAAGCTATTTATTTACTGGGATTGTTATTTAACATACTGTATTTAAATACAAATGTTATTTAACATTATTTTCTTGCTTTTATGTTTCTCTCTTCAGTTCATCTGACAACAAGCTAAAAGATAACTAGCAATTAGCTTATTATGATATAAAATGTCAATGAAACAACTCATTTCAAAGACTGAACTAGTGCATATTCAGCATTTTTGTATACATTTAGAATAAATCACAATTTTTAAGCTATCCTAAGAGGTTTTTATTTATTGTTTCACATTTTGTTTTAAATACTTTCCACTTATGGCTTAGGCAGACACTTTAAAGACAACTTGCCAAAATATATTTCGAGTACTAGTTATTTAATTTTGTGTTTCCTTAAGAAACACAATTCAGGTGACCCAGGCTTTCATGAACACTTTGTCACTGTATGGCGCAGGAATGATCTGGCTAGAGGTCAACTAAGACCCATACTTTCTGGTACGGATTTGCTTTAAAAAAAAGCCTGTTCATTTTATAATATGTCTAATTATATATTTAGAAAACTAAATTGCCAAAGGTATCAATGTATATTTTTAGTCCATACAGGATATAACTTTTTTTTAAAGATTTTATTTATTTATCTTTAGAGGGGAAGGGGGAAGGAGAGAGGGAGAGAAACATCAATGTATGGTTGCCTTTTGTGCATCCCCTGCTGGGAACTGGCCTGCAGGGAACTGGCCTGCAACCCAGGCATGTGCCCTGACTGGGAATCGAACCGCGATCGTGTGGTTTGCAGGCCCGCGCTAGGATATAACTTTTTGAAAAGATTTTTAGTTATTTTCAGAGAGAAGGAAAGGGAGGGAGGAAGAGAGAGAAACATCATTTGGTTGCATCAATTGAACCCACAACCCAGGGATGTACCCTGATCAGGAACAGAATTAGTGACATTTCGATTTGTGGGATGATGCCCATCCTACTGAGCCGCACTGGGCAAGGCAATATGGGACAAGATTTTGTCAGTTTGTTAGCACTGTCATCTATTAAATATTATAAGGCCATGTCCCTTAAAATAAGAAAAAAGTGACTGAGTACAAATTAATCAGTAGAAATTGACCAATATCAGAGGACTTCTGCCAAGATGGAGGCATAGGTAGAAGCACTGCGCCTTCTCGCACAACTAAGTTTAAAATCAACAAAGTTTTAGCAACAAAAATGCAGCCAAACCACAGAAAATTGAACTACATGGAAGTCTGACAACAACAAACCCTTCAGCCAAACCGGTAAGAGGAGCCGAGCCAGCGGCAGAGCAGGGCCTGGCAGGAAAGATCCACCGAATGACCCGGGCGTGTGACCCAGGTATGCCAGCAGCTGTGGGTGGATCCCAGGTGTGGAGAAGCGGGCGGACCCACTGAGGGCGCAAGGTGGTGGACCCACTGAGGGCTGATCACAGTCACACATTCCAGTGCAGATAAACTGGTGAAGGAGCTAGCAGTGAGATGGACCATGCAGGCCCCAGCAGCAGGAAGCAGCAGAGGGGACCGCCATTGTCCCTCTCTGACCCCGCCCCCACATACAGCATCACAAACCAGCAACCTGGGTGGCCTCCCCCTGGTGAACAACTAAGGCTCCACTCCTCATACATAACAGGCACAAACAGATCAAAACATAGCTCAAGAACAACTCAGAGCCCCAGAGCCAATAAATCTAAGTGATGAAGAAATAGCCAAACTTGCAAATGCACAGTTCAAAACACTGGTGATCAGGATGCTCACAGAACTGGTCGATTTTAGTCACAAATTAGAGGACATATGAAGGGTAAACTAATTGAAATGAATGGAAATGCACAGGAAACCAATAGTAATGGAAAGGAAACTGGGACTCAAATCAAGGGAGTGGATCAAAAGGAGGAAAAAAATGACCAAACAGAAAAGAATGAAGATACAAGAATTCAAAAAAATGAGGCGAGGCTTAGGAATCTTCAGGACATCTTAAACGTTCCAAAATCTGTATTATAGGGGTGCCAGAAGGGGAAGAGGAACAGCGAGCAGTGGAAACCTTATCTGAACAAACAATAAAGGAGAACTTCCCCAATCTGGCAAAGGAAATAGACTTCCAGGAAGTCCAGGAAGCTCAGAGAGTCCCAAAGAAGTTGGACCCAAGAAGAAATACACCAAGGTACATCATAATTACATTAGCCAAGATTAAAATGAAGGAGAGAATTCTAGAAGCAGCAAGAGCTAAGGGGACAGTCACCTACAAAGGAGTTCCCATCAGACTGTCAGGGGATTTCTCAAAAGAGACCCTATAGGTAAGAAGGAGCTGGAGAGAGGTATTCCAAGTCATGAAAACCAAAGACCTACATCCAAGATTGCTCTATCCAGCAAAACTTTCATTTAGAATGGAAGGACAGATAAAGTCCTTCTCAGATAAGATCAAATTCAAGGAGTTCATCATCACCAAGCCCTTGTTATATGAAATGTTAAAGGGACTTACCTAAGAAAAAGAAGATAAAAAAGATGAACAGTGAAAGGACAGCAAACTCACAGTTATTAACAACCACACCTAAAATAAAAGCAAACTAAAAGGACAGCTAGGTCAGGAACGGAACCATAGAAATGAAGATCTCATGGAGGGTTAGCAACAGGGGAGTGGGTGAAGGAGAAGAGGGGAGAAGGTACAGAAAATAACCAGCATAGATGGTAGGTAGAAAATAGATGGGGGGAGGGCAAGAGTAGTATGGGAAATATAGAATCTAAAGAACTTGAGACACGTGGTCATAAACTAAAGGGGGGGGAGTGATGGGGGTGGGGGGTGCAGGGTGGAGGGGAATGAAGGGAGGAATAGAACAACTGTAATGGCATAATCAATAAAATTTTTAAAAAAGTAAAAAGAAAAAGAAAACACAATCTGGCTGCTATTTATTACTACATAATGGCATCAGTTATCACATATATGTATGTATATGAGCACATTCACACTACATTAACAATAGTGCCTGGGTTTAAACATATAATGTTGGTTTAAATGAATGGTACATTTGGGTTTAGGATTAAATATAGGATACATCAGTCAAGTTTCCTCTTTTAAAAAATTAAGACAATGGTAAAATTCGTAAATATTCTTAATTACCCCTTTACTTGAAGAACATTATGCTAGTAGTAGACACATCATCTAAAGAGTCAAAACACAATATTCTAATTAAATGTGCAAAAATATATTCATTTATATTTAGACTGATATTTATCATGAATCTATCAACCATTGGTTAAGCTAGTTACAAGTAAACTGTAGCAATACTGAGAATTGGCTAAACATTATTTTAGTGTTTTAGAAAAAATTGAGTCAAAAATTTCTGATTTATTGCTAGAGTTTTAACTTATAATTATTTTTAAATTCATTTTTCATTATCACCAAAACTTTTGTATCTCCCTGTTATTTTTACTATACTAATTAAAGTGCCTTGTAATTTCTTCAGATAAGAAATATGTGAATCAATTGCATGACTCTCTACAAAACTCATCAGCTAATCCTACAATGAATAATGCAGCCCGAAGTTTTATTAACACACTATCTGAAACTCAACCAACAATTCGAAATAAACTTTTAAATCTTAGAGCATTTGAATATCAAGTATAGCTATGATACCTTGATTATTTCTTCAGTTCCAATCAATTCAGGAAAAAGGTCAAGTTCTACAAAATCAAAAATAAAATTATTAAAATTTATATTCAGCAATCTCAGCTTTGTGGGTTTAGCTTTGGTCGAAAAAAGTAAGAAGAAAAAAACTGTTAGCTTTGAAAATACAAAATCTCTCAAAATAAAAAATTTGAGTATCAGGTTTGAACACTACTGAACACTGTATAAGACAACACTACATTAACTGTTATAAAACTGCATTCAAAGCTTTCACCTCTATCCTCCACTTGAACTCTTTTCTCTAAAAGGGGGCCTGTGAGGCTATAAACCGTGACACCATTAAAGTCCTAGAGGAGAACATCTGCAAGAAAATCTCAGATATTCCACGCAGCAACATTTTTACTGATATGTCCCCTAGAGCAAGGGATATACAGGAAAGAATAAACAAATGGGACCTCATCAAAATAAAAAGCTTCTGCATGGCCAGAGAAAACAGTATTAAATTAGCAAGACAACCAACTGTATGGGAAAACATATTTGCCAATGATACCTCAGACAAAGGTTTAATCTCCAAAATATACAAAGAACTTACACGACTCCACTCTAGGAAGACATCGAACCCAATTAAAAAATGGGAAAAGGACTTGAACAGACACTTCTCCAAAGAGGACATACAGAATATCCAGAGACACATGAAGAGGTGCTCAATATCGTTAGCTATCAGAGAGATGCAAATTAAAACCACAATGAGATACCACTTTACACCAGTCAGGATGGCCATCATAAACAAAGCAATAAACAACAAATGTTGGAGAGGTTGTGGGGAAAAGGGGTCCTTAGTTCACTGTCGGTGGGATTGCAGACTGGTACAACCATTATGGAGAATAGTATGGAATTTTCTCAGAAAAATAAAAATCGACCTGCCTTTTGACCCAGCAATTCCACTGCTAGGATTATATCCCAAGAATCCTAAAACATCAATTTCAAAGAACCTATGCACCACAATGTTCATAGCAGCACAATTTACAATAGCCAAGAGTTGGAAGCAACCTAGGTGCCCCTCAGTAAATGAATGGATCAAAAAATTGTGGTACATATACACAATGGAATTCTATGCAGCAGAGAGAAAGAAGGAGCTACTACCCTTTGCAACAACATGGATGGAACTGGAAAGCATTATGCTGAGTGAAATAGGCCAGGCATTGAAGGACAAATACCATATGATCCCACCTTTAACAGGAAGCTAAGTAACAAAATAAACAAGCAAATAGAATAAAAACAAAGACACTAAAATAGAGAACAAGTGGGCAGCGACCAGAGGGGAGAGGGAAGGGAATTTAAGGGGAAAAACGAGGAGGGATTTTGAAGAACAAGTATGAAAGACACAGGGATGAGGTCTGTGGGGGGGGGGGGGGGGAGGGAGGGGGGGGGGGGGGGGGGTTGGGATGGGAGAAATTGACAAAAGAAAACTGTACTTGAAAAATAACTCAATAAATTAAAAAAAATTCAAATAATTTTTCATCAGTGTAGATTTGCTTTTAACCTTAGCAGAGTTGATAACAATACAGTTGGGAAATGCCAGTGGTTTCGAGAAGTGACAGGATTTACTTTCTCATTCAGCTACTACTCCTTACACTGCTCTTCTGACTGAGGGTCAATTAATTCTTTAATTCTTCAGATTTGGGCTCATTCCTATGTGCACACAGGGTGCTGCCCCAGGTAAAGTAGAGAGTGTTTTCTAGCAGATCTAGGCTGGGCTTGTGTTCGCTTCCTTCTCCCAGGCAAACTCAGCTAATGCTGTCTATGCAAAGAATGTAATGACCAGGATCATTCAAGTCTGTGCTCACAACTGACTAGAAACAGTATATTTCTAGTACATGGGTATGTGAATCCTAAAAGAAGTAAATATTAGAAGACGTTAGGAGCTGGTTCTCTTTCTCCAGAAAGGGGTAGAGGAGGATTTCTGCTCACTAGTTACCTGAGTTGCCTAGGTCATTTGGAAGAGAGGAGACAGGACATGAGCCTGTCGAACTCTGTTTGTGCCCACGAACTCTGAGGGCATGAGCATTATTACAATGATGTTCCACTTACTGCTATTATTTTATAGAATCTCACTCCACTGCCAAAGCTTACTCTCTTCACCATCCCAATGCTGTTTATGTTCTGTTTTATGTCTCTGTATATCCTCAAAGGAAACACATGTTCTATAAAATTTTCAAAGGCATAACTGATCTAACAATAAAAGTTTATCAAACCCAGGCCTGTTTTATAACATAGACTTTCTTGAGTCTATTTTCTATCAGGAAATTGTGAAATGTTCAGAAATGTAAAACCAGGAGGGGTGGGGGGAAAGGCAGAAAACTGTACTTGAACAACAATAAAAAAATAATAGATAAAATGTAAAAAAGAAAAGGAAATGTAAAACCACAAAATACAGTGATATTAATGAATTCCAGAAGGATTCAGATAAAATTAATATGCTTTACAAAGTTACTTACCCCGAACAATTTTCTGTGCTGTAAAAATGAAAATATTCACTAAAAACAATCACGGTCTTAAATTTTAGCTCTCAATTATTATTTTTTTCCTTGTTAAAACTGACTATGAAGTTGTTTGGAAACTTTTATTTGGATTATTGCTGTTCTCTTTTTTCAATTTTTGTCTCTATAAAACCTTTTTCCCAACATGTTTTTCATGATCTTTATTCCTTAGGTTACCAAATTGAAGTGATTTCAATAATCTAGAACAAGCGTGTCTCTATAACCTCCAAGGAAACTAGTGAATACTATATGTGAATTTAAAAGTGGGATGCAACTAAAACTGAGAAAGAAAAATAATGACCTTCAATATGACTTTCTAAACACCACAATTTGAGAAAGTTATGCATATTAAAGTCTTTAAATTCAGTCTTTAAATGGAAGACAACACATAATTTTACTGACAATGCTTTCAAATGTGACCACTGCTTTTCATGTACTTTCAAAATACTCTAATGTTAACAAGCACAAATCATAAATACTTGTTGCTGATGCATATATTATACTGTAGATCAGGGGTGTCAACTCATTTTCACTGGGGACCACATCAGCCTCTCAGTTGCCTTCAAAGGGCTGAATGTAATTTTAGGACTGTATGAATGTAACTACTCCTTAACGGGGGGCAAGGAGCTCGATGCTGCCACTGGATAGAAACAAGGTGGAGGGCTGGATTCAGCCTTGTGTTTGCCAGCTGTGTTGCAGATGTTTCTCTGTTAAGCAGCTAGGGAAAAAAGTCTCAAAGACAGTCTGTTCTCTTCAACATGTTTAAGGAAGAGTTATAAATTAGAACAAAGGTCTAACTTCACTTAACTCTATACTTGTAATGGGTAAAGGTAATTTTCTTATTAATTCTCAGGGTTGGGGAAGGATATACATACAGATCACATTGAGGACTGATTCCCTTCTCTTTCAGTATTCTCTGTGTTGACTGCATTTATTTTTATCCTTTTAGCAGAGCATAAATTAACTGCATGGATGATGGTTCCTAGAAAGTTAAAATACATGACTTTACCCAAACATATGCCCTTCAGAGTATCAGTAAATTCTACTATAAATGTCTTTGCTGTTTATTACATTAAGAAGTAAGAAGTTCTCGATCATGGTATTTCCCCTGCCAGGTTAAGTATTGGATGGATCTAGAGACTATTATGCTAAGTGAAATAAGCCAGGTGGTAAAAGACAAATACCATGTGATATCACCTATAAGTGGAACCTTAACAACAAAACAAACAAGCAAGCAAAATATAACCAGAGACATTGAAATTAAGGACAAACTGACAGTAACCTGAAGGAAGATAGGAGGGGGTAAAGGGGTGAAAAGAGAGGAGGGTTGTCAAGGAATATGTATAAAGGACACATGGACAAAGCCAAAGGAGGGTGAGAATCAAAGATGTGAGGGAGGGATGGCTGGGTGGGGGGAGAGTGATAGGGGAGAATGGAGACAATTGTACTTGAACATCAATTTAAGAAAAGATAAAGTAAGAAGTTCTCTCTGGGCCCCTTTGGGCCCTAGAAGCAGCATATGTGGACCCAGGCAGATCTTTGACCCACTCTGCTCTGCAGCACTTTCCTGAGTGAATTCCCCGAGTTTGGGCCTTCATATTGGAAAGTACATACCCACTTTGAGGATCTTAATTCTGGTTTCCTATCAGATCATTTGAATTGACTGAATATAGGGTTGCCCAGCAACACTTCATACTCCCTCTAATCCAGAAGACTTTGGCTGAGTCTCTTCAGAACAGTTTTTAAACAAAATAATTTTGGAAGATAGTTTCTATTGTCTTAAAGATGAATAAGTTACTTCTGGGTCTGAGAGTTCATAGTAACCAAGGTCAAACTCTGGAGATTGATACAAGGTCTCATATTGTGTATCCTTTGGCCTTTTGTTTCCTCAAAAATAACAACTGATGTTTTAGTAGCCACTGGTCTGATTCAGGCACTGCAATCATATATAATAGTACAAAAATTATACTAGTTTCCAGAATCTTCTCCTTCATCAAAAGAAACTCCATGGAGGCTGTAAAAGTCTAACCATCAAGACTTTTTTGTGAGTGAACACTTGGAATCCATATTTGTGTGATAACTGAACAAAAGCTCTTGGCTCATTGTAGTTTTGTTTTTGGCACTTGCAATGCTAATTTTTCTAAAAGAGCTTGTTGGTAACACATCAATATTCTATAACACAAAAAAGCACCACTAATGTAGGTTGGCTAGCAAGACTTATTTAATTGTTTGAAAGTAAGCCAAGGTTCACAGTGCAAATGGTCAAAGCAGTGTGGACTGCAATCTTTTCAAACTGTGATTGATTATGTATATTATATAATAACACCCACAGCATGGGATGGCACAGGCTGGATAAGGACAAATGTAGATTTAACAAAGATGATTGTTGCACAACTGAAAAGCACACAATAACAGAAAACTGTGCTGATTTAACTCATCATGCATTTAAATTGAACACATAGTTACCAAGGCCATAAAACATGCACGTAAATAATGTCTCTATAACTGTATAATAATTAGCTGTACATTATACATAAGAAATAAACACAATTATATCAGTTAAAATGAAGTAAATATGTTTACAAATTACTTATTCATAAATTTAATTTTCTACAAAGTATTTGAAAAGAAGGTACTTTCTGTTTAATGTTAAAAATGTTTTCTTGACAAATTTTGTCTATGAATATTAATTTATGCATTCATTTAAAAATAGCAGTTCATAACATATGAACAGTTGTCTATGCTAATACTGTTGTACATAAAATATAATCAATGCACAAGCAAGCAATAACTTAAATTGGCCAAAGTTAAATGCACAATTTGGATGACTGAAGTTTCCTTCACAGATATTGATTACAATGTTTGAAATCTATGAATGAAAGAGTAAGGGCAATTATAAATGACCTCCTGCAGTTCTCTTTAACCAAAGCAATAAACAATACAACATTTAGAAAATAATTTATCCAAAATATAGCAGACTAATCCAATAGGACATATAACAATGTTGCTAAGGTAATGAAACAACATGATAAACAGGATGAAATGGTACTAACAGAAACCATAACATAAGCAGCACTCAAATCTACTTACATCTGAATTAGCCACATAAATCACACAATTCACAAACTTGTAGGTACCATCAAACTAAACCACTAGAGAGTACTGCTGTCAAGAATTGTACTGTGTTATATTTACTAAAGAAACAATATTTAACATGATGTAAGTTAAATAATAAATTGAAAACATATGAATTAAAATACCTTTATAGCCTTTAAGATCAGAAGGAATGGGTATAACAATGAATATTTTCTCTATAAAAACAAAACAAAACAAAACAAAACAAAACAAAACAAAACAAAACAAAACAGGAAGACCCAACTTTTGGGTAGATTGGCTTTTGATGAATTAGTTTTTGAAAGAATAGTTTACCTAAGTTTTTAACCCTTGGATGTGCAGAGGAATATCATAGTGAAACATCAAATCAAATAATCATCTTCTGCTAATAGCATCCTTACATCAAATCAAATGCTATCTTTTGCTAAAACATCATTACAGTATAATATGTTTTAAAGACTGAGACATTCATGGAGATTAATTTGTGTCCACACTAGCATCTCATTACTTCATCAGTGTCTTGATCCTTTAAATAAATAGAAAATACGTTATAATATTCATTATTTTATAAAAATGTGAAAGTGCTACAAACGATACAATGCTGTATCAATTCAGTCTAAAAGGATCACTCAGAAATCACTTTTGTAGAAAATAAACATTTGATCTATTTTTTCATATGCAATAAGCTTCTCAAAAAAAGAAGAAAAAATTCAGAAAGTTTAAAATTTTGCTATAGTAGATAGAGTAAGAAAGAGCACAATACGAATAGGTAACAGCAATTGCTTTTTGTAAACTCCTGGGTAATTGTTTCATTTACAGAAATTAGAATGATATAATGAAACCTAGATATAGAATCAAGTGAAGTTGTTCAGTGTAATTCATATTCTAAAACACAAAATAGAGTTAGAGGAGACTTTTATATGCCATATTTCATCAATTCACATGTGGTGCTGACCAGCATGGTCAGCGTTGCGCTGCTCAAGATGTCGTTTTCTGGTTGGGTCCGTGTGGGGACCTTTGGTGAGGGATGACATGCAGCAGAGGAGCAGATGGGACAGCAGGAACCACAGTCAGCTGTTTGATACTCACCTTTTAATAACACTCAGAGCTCACATTCCATTTAAAAATAACCTGATTTTGAAAAACAATGCTAAGTAAAAGTGGTAGGAAAGGTGGCTATACCCAGACCATGAGGCAGGCCATAAGGAATATTATTAAATGATGATATTCCCATCATGATAGCAGTAATAGTCATTAGCCATCAATGTTTTTAACCTGAGAAATATCTTGGCAAGTTCTGTAGCTTGCGGTTTAAAAAAAAATACATAATGTAACATCTAATGCTCTGACATACAGTCTTTAAATGAAAAATCCAACTGGTAAGAACACTATGACAAAGTAATTAATAAACAAGCTCTTAATGGGTCAAAGCCCATGCTGTAGCACGTGGTCCACACAGGCAAGTCAGTACACATCAATTATCCATCCACACATAAAAGTGAAACACTATACTTAATATAATTTGCAACCATTTGTTTACATTAAAAACTTATAAAATTTCACTGAGTAGCCTCATGATAGGGATGAGCAAAGAAATTTACATTCATGTATGTAGATAGATTAATATATTAATGAACATGCACATGTATGATGTTCATGTGTATGTACATACACACATACATATATGAATACATGTAGAATTCCATTATACTACTTTAAAACTGATTTTATTAACAAAGAATGACTAATTGTGTAAATGTATAAAAGTCAAATTGTGACAGTTAGCAATTCATTTAATTATTGCATATGCTTTGAGATCAAAAGATTTTCCCATAATAGTCAGAGAAGATGCATGCAAATAAATACAATTGGAACCAACTTTTTGTTTTGCTTTTGTGAAACAGTACTGGGAAACCAACTAAGAGGAAATCACTCCCACCCCTCAACCAAATGTGGATACAAATACTTGATAAACTGTTGAGATGCTTTGTATAAATATTTCAAAGTACTTCACATGAACCTAGCAACATGTATATACTTACTACAAAATGCTTTGCGTGCTGAAAAAGGAAATAAGCACAAATGAAACCAAATCTTTATTATTCAAAGTAAAGGTTTCAATGTTTACATAGCTATTTTCATTCGATGACCATCAGAGATATTACAAAAGATTTAGCTGTTCTGGTTTTACAAATAGAAAATTTCAATATTCAAAATGAAAATACTGATTGTTCTGTCTCAGACATGCTGAATAAAAAATAATTTCCATGTTTCACAAAATTACCTGTGATCCAGACTAAAAAGAACATCATTTGGCCTTCTGGCCAAAAGGATATAAAATTAGACTGAAAGCGCCAGCGTCTCTGGTAACTAAACTAGCATCACTGATTTAGATAATACACAGGCATATAAGGTGGGCACTTACCAAGGTCATTGGAAGGCATGTCGACAATCAACTGGTCACTGTATTTTCCATATAAGCCGTTAGTGCATATGGCTACTATTTGAAGAACATAACTCATATTGGGTAATAAGTTACTGAGAATAGCACCCTAAAAGAAAGTTGTCAATAATTTTACAACTGTGTTACTTTCAAGTAGTACTATCATACTAGCCATTTGTCCTTAGAAAACATTTTTTCATTTGTTAATAAGAAATATGTATATTTTATTCACCAAAGAAAAAGTTTATGTAATATTAAGTTGAAAATCTACTAAAATTAGGCATTTTTAGCTTTAAAAATATCTGATTTAGTTTTAGAATGGTTCATTTTTAACTAGAACTCTTAAAACTTATAAATGAGTGTCAAAAATACAAAGTAATATTTTAGACAAATGGAGGTGTAGCATTTGTAAGACATAAAATATAAAAACACAATGAAAAACCAACTTATTTCTTTATCTTAACAATATATAAGCCAGTCAGTAATAAAATTATTGTCTATATATCATTATGAAATGGAAAATAGTATATTTCCATTAATTCCACAACTTCCCCAATTCATGATGTCTCTGTTCTAGTTAACTAAATTTAAAATGTTGGTACAAATTTTATCTATTTTTCCATATAATATTCAACACCATGATGACAGGGACAGTTTTTGTTTCAAGGCAGGTTCCTAGGGCACGTGGTACTCTAGCTGTCTGAATGCAGAGGTCAGTAGTGTCTGACTTGTGGTGGGGTCTTCCGGGATCCACACCCAGATGGGGTTTTCTCAGGTAATCCCCAATCTACAGCCAACACTTCCCTACCAAGGCGAAGTTTACTACTGAGCTTCTCAGGTAACAGAAGAAATCTGTCCCTTATCTTCTTTAGCTCATGTGCTTGGGTGGGGAGGAAGAGCAGGTGGATCTTTTCTGAGGATTACCTGCCTCATGTCCTGGAAGTTCTGTCTCAATTGACTTCACCTGTGCTACTTGCAAATTTGGTGCCAAAAAAGGGATTTTCAAGGCCCCTACTGTATGTTTTATTTTTCTTGTGCTTGTGAAGTATGATAGGGAAATAATACATGATGGTATCAGAGCACTGAGATTCCAGGCCCAATTCTCTCCACAACTGTGAGATCCCAGTCAAGGATTTTAACTGCTGTTTGAGTCCCTTTCCATGCTAGCGACCTCTAGTTGCTAACTCCTCCCAAGATGTCTACTCTACAAGCTGTTTTTGTAAAGTTGTGGTCTCCTGGAATTCAAAACTTAAATAAAAACCTAGAATAACTCACTCTTAGTTTTGGCATAATTTGGGTTAGCTTCTGCTTCGCCTCCTCCCCACTGGAGAGCTTCAGACAAAGTCCAAAGTAACCAAGGGCAACAACATAAAATCACTTGTAAGATCTTTCCTTAAAAATTAAACTATGATGTTATCAACACAAGAAATGAATGATTTTATAGTTACCAGGTCTTGATAGCCATCTGTTAAAAATTCATGCTTGGTTTGGTCTTCGCCCTCCAACTGCTGGTAAAGAACTGCAAACTTCTCAATCATAGTGTCATAAACGACTCGAGGTCTCTCCCATGTAACAAGAAGGCTGGTGTAATTCTCTGGGTCAGCTTGAACATTTTCTGGTTCTGAACTACAAACTGCAAAAAGAAAAAAATACAATTATTAATACAACTGTCAGCCTCTAGGATTTAACTAGTAAAACATATTCTATGAAAACGCCTGACGATTTTATTTCAAAAGAATGTAAGGAGTTACACTTGACCACTGTGGAGCTTTTGTTTATTCTATTTCCTGTATATGAAATACTTCTTCCTCCCAAACCCTACCTTCTCATTCAAGAAAGGACGTGGTCAAGTGCTTTGACCCCTGCTGTAGCGATCAATGTCATTTTCAATCATCTGTTTTGTTTTCCTACTGCTTTTGGATAAATTGTATGTTCTCTTATATTATTGTTTTTCTCAATAAGTCTTAACAGATTATAAACATAAACACCATGCCTATTTGTTTCTAGATTGACTACACTACTGTGTTGAATATTTGGCATTAATTCATTTTTAGAAATAAATGAACAAAGGACATCTACAAGTTTATGGTAGTATTATTTCTCTAAGTACCAGAAAAATTTGTTTAGCTTAAGATGAGGAGAATTTCAATTATAAAAGATGCTCTACTACTAGACTGTTTGTTTACAGACAATCCTTGAGATGATTTAAAATTTCCAACTAGAGAAAAACATAGGGGAACAAGTAAAACTATTTTTTCAGTATTTTTCAGATCTGCTAACCAAAATCCCATTTTTGCATAACAAATTGATCCAGCTGTTTAATTTCATAGAATTAGAAGATTGGTTCGTATCACCTGAAAAAATAATATTTTGAAAATCTTTCAGAAACTTAAAATAAAATTCAAGCCTATGCTGGGAATGGCGCCAAAAACTTAGTCTCGACTGAAAGTGTACTCTGATACTTCCTGAAATACATTCAGATTGTGATAGTTTGAACTAACTGTGAGGATTAAATTATAAAATGTTATAATATTGTTCAAATTAAGCAAAGTAATAAATATATCTCTTCATGGGCTGGATAGATTTGCAAAAGAAAGGGAAAGAAAGGTCACTAAGACCAAGGATTAACTAATATGCTCACAGAATCTGGGTTTTGTTTACCGAGGATACCAAAGCTACAAAGCCACTGAATGAGATCCTACATTGTTCACCCAACTGTCACTGCCACAAAAACTATTTCAAGGTCCAATGAAAATATGCCTCAACAGCATCAGAATGTCTCCAAAAACCATTATCGCTACAATAGCATGTAATTTATCTCATGAGCACAGAAGGGCACCCAAAACTCATAACTGACCTATGAATTGAAACAAATTTTACACGCAGAATTTAGTATTAGCAATTTTAGCAAATGTATGCTATGTTAGCAATGATGTATGAGTAAGTCAGAAAACTATATGCATAATTTGTATAAATAAATGCATGTATAACTTTATGAGTTAGAGACAGGATTGATCACTATAAACTATGATGCCATTTTCTTTAAAAATAAAAGGACAATTCTGCCATTATAAAACACATGAATTCAAAATAAAAAAATGTATTCTGTAATAATTTAGGTCCAGACTACATTATCTTTATGTTATCTAGTGACTCTTCTATTAGTGTCCACTAGATGACAGAAGACTATCAAATCATCTCAAATACATGTGAGCTACTCATATAAACTCTTATTGTAGGAATATGATTCCTCAGTTTTTATTATAATGATCTACAAGTCCATTTTAAAAGGTTAAAAGTGATTCTGGACAATCATTTGTAGATTTTTGTCCTCAAAAAATCAATCCCTGGTTTTAGAGTGTGGAAATGATTTAAAGTGAACTATTCTCTTCCTCCCAAATGAAACTATCAAAATGCATTAAAATTTTATGCATGCACACAGACACACACAAAATATTGCTGGAGAAAAATATAAAAGTATTAGCTGCAAGATACTCCAAAGTTTACTGCCTAAATAATACAAACTTCTTTGGTCAGATGTCGATGCCTCTCTAAACCTAACAGTAGAAATCACAGATGCTTAATTTTGAAGAATAAATGTTAGTATAAAGCTGAATTCTAGAAATTAATATATTTGTAATCAGGTCCTACTGCCCCACTTTTTTTATAACCTCTAAGAGCTTATTGATAATTTTTAGTTTTCACTTTTATTTTAATTATAAATATATATTTAAAACACTTCCTTTGTTTATTGATAACCAGTAACTTAGTAATAGCTTATAAAGCTGCAGGTAAATCTTGTACTTTAGATATTGAAATATAGGATTTTATGGGGAAACATATATTTTAGAATGTATTAAAAAGATAATCTGCTTTTTCCCATCTTGCAAGATGGCAGGTAAAAAAACTGAGAAGCTGGATACTAAGGAGAAGAAAGCTGAAGCCAAGAAGGCTGATGCTGGTGGCAAGGTTGAGAAGGGAAACCTCAAGGCCAAGATGCCCAAGAGGAAAAGCCCCACTGCAGCTGGAAACCTAACCTATTCAGAGGACCTGGCAGGTAGTCCTGGTCGGCTATGTATTCCTGAAAGCCCATGTACAAGAAGAAGTATTCCGCAGCTAAATCCAGGGTTGAAAAGAAAAAGAGGGGAAAGTTCTTGCCACTGTCACAAAACCAGTTGGTGGTGACAAGAATGGTGATACCTGAGTGGCTAAGCTTCACAAAATGCCTACACACTATCCTACTGAAGATGTGCTTCGAAAGCTGTTGAGCCATGGCAAGAAACCCTTCAATCAGCACGTGAGAAAACAGCAGACCAGCATCACTCTCAAGACCAATCTGATCGTCCTCATTGGGCATCATGGAGGTAAGAGGGTGGTTTTCCTGAAGTAGCTGAGCAGCGGCCTGCTGCTTGTGACTGGACCTCTGGCCTGTAATTGAGTTCCTCTATGGAGAACACACCAGAAATTTGTCATTGCCACCTCTGCCAAAATTGATATCAGTGGTGTGAAAGTCCCAGGAGGATAAGATCTTAGACACTGAGGAGAAATACGAGATTACAGAGCAACTCAAGGTGATCAGAAAGCCATGGACTTGTAAATTCTGCCCAAAATTAAAGCTGTCCCTCAGCTCCAGGGCCACCTTTACTCTGTGTTTGCTCTCACAAATGGGCGTTATCCTCACAAAATGAAGTTCTAAATTCCTTTTGAAAAACCTAATTCAATAACTGACCTGTTTAAAAAAGAAAGAGAGATAACCTTGCAGTTCTATCTATACTTCTATCAGGTTCTTTTAAATAACAACCTAGTTAATTCCATATGCATACACTACATGGCATTCAAGTATAAAGCTGGGTAATTATCATAAAATAAGTTATTAATTTGCACTAAATTTTCTAGGTTTCCTTATATTTCTTATTAAAATTAGTTTATCTTATTAGAAGAACACATACTATATAAAGCATAAATTCTGGATTTAAAATCAAGAAGCATTTTCCAGATCAACACATACTCAGACACCAAACGCAAGGCATCCAATCGGTATAATAAAATCATAATAAAATGTAATTTGCTAGATGATGGAAAGTCCAGATGATGGAAATGTTGAGGTCCCATTTACTCTACAAGACTGAATCAACTCTCTGATTTTTTTCTTCCCCACAAGCTACATGTGATCTGGGTCATAGTTAATGATTCCTCAAGGAACACAGGCCAAGAATGAGAGTCTGGTTTCTGCAAATCTTTTGACTATGAGCCAGGCTATGACAAACCTGAGATCCATTTCAAATCACATAGAGCACAGGTGTGTGCTTCAATACAAAGGCAAAGAATCCTCACATATAAAGAATGAACATGTAGTCTCCTTTTTTAGGGTGCAATAGATGTTCTCACTTAAACACTGATTTTTAACATTGAATTGTCAACCACTTGGTTGCTGGCTGTGGGGACATACAAATTTCTGCCTCTAAGAAGCTTATTCCTATGATAGCTTCTAAACCATATATCTGGTAAGCTATGCCATATAATGGATGTTTAAGTTTCTAAGCCCTAGACTCCATTCATAGAAGAATAAAAACAAACTTGTAACAAATATACCACTTAGACCAAACTAGGTTGTGCTTTCCAAAACTACACATTTTCTCACTAAAAGTTCTAAAAGTGCCACAGAAATTCATTTATTTTCTAATTATTTATAAACATATAAGATTAATACCTCATATGTAGGGATGTGCATGACTTGGAAAACAAATATGAAAGGTTAATAAGCAAAGCATTGGGTGTCACGAGTAAACAGGAAAAACTGGAAAAAGAAAAGGAAGAGGTGAAGTATAAATGAGGAGAACATGTAAATTCTTTGGCAATGGCAAATCTCTCAGCTAATTATGCAAGTTGTTGCAGATGGTCAAGGAGATATGATTCTTCTGCTTTGATGCACCATTCAACATATTGATATGTGAAATTTTCCCACCTATGTTCTCCTCTAGGACTTTTATGGTGTCATGATTTAATTCATCTTGAGTTTATTTTGGTTTATGTGGAAGTTGGTAGTCTAGTTTCATTTTTGCTTTGCATATATATGTCCAGATCTCCCAACATCATTTGTTGAAGAGGCTATTTTTACTCTATTTTATGCTTCTGTCCCCTTTGTCAAATATTAATTGACATAGAGACTTGGGTTTATGTCTGGGCTCTCTGTTCTGTTCCACTGATCTATATGTCTGTTCTTGTGCCAGTGCCAGACCGTTTTGATTGCATTGGCCTTGTAGTATAGCTTGATATCAGGCATTGTGATCATTCCTACTTGGTTCTTCTTTCTCAAAATTGCTGAGGCTATTCAGGTCATTTATTGTTCTATGTAAGTTTTTGAAATACTTGTTCTATTTATGTGAAATATGTCATTGGTATTTTAGTAAGAATTGTATTGAATCAATAAATTGCTTTGGGTAATCTGGACATTTTGATGATACTAATTCTTCCAATCCATGAACACAGTACATGCTTCCATTTATTTGTGTCTTCCTTAATTTTTTTCTTCAATGCTGTGTAGTTTTCTGAGTATAGGTCTTTTACTTCTTTGTTTAAGTTTATTCCTAGGAACTTCATTTTTCTCATTCCTGTGGTAAAATGTCTTTTTTCACCTAATTTCCATTTCTGATAGTTCATTGTTGGTATACAAAGGTGCCTTTGATTTCTGCATGTAGACTTTGTATCCTGCTGTTTTTCCAAATTCACTTATTAGGTCGAGTAGTTGGTTTATGACTATCATTTTAAAAAATATCGAGACAGGCACTTTGACAATTGTTGAGATAGGAGCCTAAAGATTTACAGAGTCAGAGGACAATTGATATTAAGGTTGTGATTTTTTTCCCTCAGGGAGTAGCAGATCTTTATAAAAACTAATGCAAACATTGCCACAACTGTTAAAAAACAATAACTGAAAATAACCTGTCACTGTTTTACAACTCTAAATAGTTCTATTATTCACTTGAGAGAAATCACTGAAAGAAATCTTGCAAAAGAAATCATTCCAATTGTACCTAACTCAGTCAACCTTCTCCAGGGTACACAGTAAATGTGTCGATAGTTTGATCTGTAATATATAACTGTCTAAGAAGCAAATAACCTTCATGTAACTTTTCTGTATATAGTTAGAGCATGGTGTTAATGTGACATTAATGAATGCTATTTACAACTACTGACCTTCAAAAAGGTGACTCCGCTGATGTATAATTCATCATGACATTTTTTTGGAATTTATTAAAAATGTTTCATAGCTCAAATACAACACTAAGGGATAAAGACACTTCTTTAATGTTATTCTGCCTTGAAAGGCATTTCATATTTTATTGTTTTTTAAAGCTTGCATTAAATATATTACAATGCTATTAAATGAGACTTGAAGTATATTTATAATTTCATTCAACACACAAATGCCTTAAACACAGAAAACTTGAATAGCACCCTGTACTTGCTGTGATAGCTCACCCCTTATTCATACACACACATCTATACACAAGTATGTATACACACACCTGCTACAATATTAGTTGCTGTACATCTGGAGCACATTATGTTCAAAAGTGCTCTGCTCTGCAAACTTTAGTACATTTACACCCTCAACAACATACAAAATGGCATTTAACTCTCATTTTATAGGTGAAGAAACTGAGGCTTTCATAAACTAAGTAAATTGATAATCTTTATATAATTAATGAGGATTGACACTGGAGTTTGAAACCAAAAGCCTACTAGACTATAAAGCCCACACTTTTTCTCACTGTGCTTCACATGGCCCCTGCTTCTCAGTGGGGAGTCTTGATAGTGGACTAGGGGGGCAGTGGGAAAGCATCTGGCACCTGGAGGACATGGGACAACATTGAACTTCACCTACTGACACTCATTTTCTCTCTGTATAGTTATTCACACACATTTCTCATTGTCTAAAAGACAGCTTTTACTATCTCCTTCAAGAGCCAATGGTTCTACTAAATTCTGTGATTCTCAGAGAAGCCAGCATGCATTCTGTGCTGCTGAAAAGGCATGCCTTCCTAATAAATGGCAGCTCTGCATAAAATGCAGAAATGGAGGACTAAAATTTTGAGAAAACTAGTTCACACACGAACACTTACTGAGTTCCTCTTATGTATGCAAAAGTGAATAAAGCTTGATCTCTACTCTCAACGAGTTTACGTGAATACACAGACCTCAAATGGTTTTTGCAATTACTTGCAATGTAGTTTCACAACTATATTTTTCTACAATGAGAGAAGAATTCTGACAATTTTCATGTCAACTCTTACTTTTCTATTGGTGAAAATGAGGATGTTAGATATTTATCACGGAAAAATACATAAAAATCTTCTGAATATTCAAAACGAGCAGCTGGTTAAATATGCTTTACAATGGAAAAGTATATAAAGAATGATGTGTTAATATATTTATATCGCTGAATAAAACAAAATTAATAAATAGGTATATGTAGTGCCATTAATTTCTGTAAGAAATAATAATATATTTTTAATTTAATAAAAATGTCTGGAAGGATATTCACCAAAATCTTCATAGTAGTTATATCTCTGGTTGGTGATATTATAGAAAATTTTTATTCTCTTCTGTGTGCATATCCATATTTTTTTTAGTTTTAAAAAATACGTTCATGTAATAAAACTTACTTTCAGATTAAATTTAATAAAAATAAATATTGAACATGAATGCAAACCTCTGTTTTTATTCTCAAACTCAGCTGAGGAAAGTAGAAAGGAGATAATGTGTCCATTAAGAAAAACATCAAAGAACTATGCACATGTTGAACGACAATAAATGCCTGTTGAATGCTAGGACTCATGATGGAACAAGCAAAACTTCAGTTGTTCCAGTTTTTGAAAAAGCTAATAAATAGTTTTGAAAAGTTTCATATCTTTAAAGTCTTCGGTTTTTATCATAAAATTATATAAGCAGAAATGGTGTTCCCTTATAAATATAAAGCACAGTGGAGAGATGTTTGGGAGCCTTTAAAATCAAGAAGACCTGGGTTCAAAGTCCTAGTTCTTTATAGTTCTGTGAACTCGGACATACTTAGTATCACCCTTTAAACTGTAAAATGAAGAAAACAAAACCCATGTGAGGTTGAACACACTGATTTACACAATGCATGACAGCTATTACTGTTTTTGTTAGGATTACTTTTGGACTTCATCCTTCAACTTTGGAAACAACAATGTTACACATTAAATCAGAATGACACATGGGTAGACACACTGAATGGTGTGACAGACAGCCATTAGGTATAACCTGCCTTGTTTGCATTATATAGAAATGGACTCTTTTCATCATTTGGTAAATGTATGGTAAGTGAGAGCTGCACTTTAGTTCAGCAATACAGGTTAAGAGGTAGAAAACTTAGTTATGTCCTTCATGGAGCTCAGAGGCAAGTGGGGGAGAAAAATGAGTAAGTAAACAATTATCATTCTATGCCAACTGCTATGAGGTTTGGGTGCACAGAACAAAGGCATACCTGGGCACATCACAGACCTGAGATGTGCATCACTATCTTGTACTCTATGGGCACAGCGCCTTTACGATGGCACAGTCCTGTGCCCTGGCCAGAGTCTGACCTGAGGGATGGAGAGAGAGTCAGAGTGACTCTCCAGTGCATTCAATGGTCTACTGAGTCTTGGAGGAGGAGGAGAACAATGAGTAAAGACAGCAGGGAAAACATGCCATGGACAGGAAAGAGTGCGTATAAGTGGAAGCTGGGAGATATGGTCTGTCCTCTTCAGGGCACTTCACAGAGTCCAGTATGAGAGAAGGAAGTGAGCTGGGGTGGAGAATGCACTGAGACTAGTTAGTACCACACAGGAAATGTTTTAATTAAGTATAAATGATAAAGGTACATGACAAGGCCTTGGCTGGATACACTAAGGTTACTGGTTTGTTCCCCAGTCAGGTCATACACAAAAATTAACCAATGAATGCATAAATAAGTGAAACAACAAATTAGTATTTATCTCTTTCTCCCCCCTCTCCCCTTCATTTCTCTCTCTCTCAAATCAAAAAATAATAAATTGTTTTTTTAAAAAGAACATGACAAAAAGAATCACATTTATTTAATTTGGTATTTGGTCATATGCATTTTAGAAAGAAGCTGATTAAATCCAGTTTTTTAATTCTAATCAATTATCTGTTATTTACCAGACAGGATGTTACAGTATTTAATGTTGCTAGAAGAAATATAATTAAATTTCCTCTCTTTGGGGCAATTTAATTTTAAACTTAACATTAAGTGCAGCTATTCATTACTCCTATTTTGTACTCTATTTTTGTGGATTTCAGAGGTAAACAATGCTCACAAATATCACATTAAAACATGCTGATTTAATGCCTAATCTTCAAAAGCAGATGATTATTAAATTAATACCATATGTGTCCAAAAACTCATTGCAGAGCTGAGATCAAAGAAGACCATGTACTTGGAAAAGTTTTAAGTCCCCAAAGCAAAGGCCACTCAACTATTTCTTTCATGAATCAGTCCATTCAAAGGACAAAATGAAAAGGACAAGTCAGCAGATGTACCCGATTGTGTCCTCAGGGCATCTTTAAAGGCTTCTGACTGCTGTGCCAGCTTCAAAAGAGCCAGCAACCACTGCAGAGATGCTTCCCCTGTGTCCCCTCCATTGCCTGACAAGGACAAAGTTATTCCATACCCCCTACCCGCAAAGAAGGCAACTGGGAAGAAGACTCACTTTGTATTCATCAATAATTAAGCACATTTGGTTTCAATTCCTACTAGGTGCTAGCTCTTCCCTCTTCCCTGGGAGCTGCCAACACAAAGATGAACACTTTAAAACTCAATTTATGGTGACAGAAGATTTGACTTTGGGTGGTGGGCACACAATGCATTATACAGATAATATAGAAATGTAAACTTAAAATCTGTATAATCTTAGTAACTAATGTCACCCCAATAAACTTAATTAATAAGTACTTGTTGAAATAAATTACTTCTCTGCCTCAAAAACAATTAAAAAAACAAAACAAAACTCAAATCATAACTCAAGGCTCAGTTCAACTATGGTTCTCTCACTGAGGTTGCATGACCACCCCAACCCAACGTGATCTTCCCAAACTCTGAACAACTCAGTCCCTCATTCATTTCTCTTTTATAGCTTTTAGCACAGGCAGATGCCATAAATAAATTTGGGGGTGCATATGTGATTTTGCCATTTTTTACTGCATGTTTTAGAAAAATCACTTCCTTACTGAATCGTTTCTCATCTACTAAATGGGGTTAGTCATGTGGTCAAAAACAGATATTTTTAAGTTGTCATCTTTTGACTGTGGTGACTGAAAGTCAGAGAAGCTAAATAGTTTGTCTAAAGCTACAAAGCTAAAAATCAACATATTTCTAAACATGTGTGTCTTGTACATTTTCCATTGTACCACACTGTCTCCTACAATGCTGACTCTGTGAGCTGTAGAAAAATTACATTTCAATACATACCTGCTTCATGAATCTCTTCCTTCCCAGTATAAGAGGAAAACACCTGCCTAGAAAACTTGTACTGTTGCTCTCGAAAATTATTCTGTAAGTAGTCCATCAGCATGACGTAACCAGACTGTTGCATTGTAAGAACTTCACAAAAAACAGCCAACTAAAAAAAAGATAATTTAATATATAACTTAACATACCTGTTTCAAGGGCAGAAGTAAAATGCTTTAACATATTCTTTAGTAAAGCTTAGAAAATCTTTTTTTTTTACATGCCTTCAAATTACTTCATTTGTTTGTGTTTCCAAGATTACCTGGCTCTCAGAGATGCTAACAGCATCTTTAAAAACGATCCAGTCAACAGTGTCTGTGCAGGGAGGAGAGGTCAACGAGCCATTGTAAGTGTAATATTTGTCAGTTGAGTTTGGCAGAAGGTTCAGCAATGTGAACGAATCTAACGCAGCCTGTTTCCCTACAAAATAATAATATAAGTCTCAGCTGGAACCCCAACTCTGCAACTGAATGAATAAACTTCTATAAAATGGAGATATACATATGCTTTTCATTTATGTATATAATCAGAAATCAAATTTTATTACATGTTTAATCTGGAATGAAATTATGTTATTTATTTAATCTGTAATGAAATTTTGAGGATGTTTTGGATATGTTTTAGAAATGGTGATAAAACCAAAATTTTTAATTTTTTTACAGATATTACTATGTAGTATTAGATGCTTCATCTTTACAATAGGATGATGCTAGAAGGATTACTTTACATATAAAAGATATTCAGAAATTATATGGCTATTTCAATAAATACAGAAAAAGCATTTCATAAGATTTAATACACTTACTGGAAAACAAAAACATAATCATATTCTGATGCTTATCTTCAAAAGCCCATGATAAACACTATAATTAATGATGACATTGAAAGCTTTTCCCTGGAAATAAAAAATGAGACAAGGATATTCTGCTATCACAGTTTATATCCAACAAACTAGAAGACTGGGCCAATGTAATTAAGGAAGAACAAAAGTTCATATATACTGGAAGAAATAAATGACAGCATCATATTTGGCAAATAACGTGACTGCATGCAAATAAAACTATTAGAATAAATACAAACTATTAGAATAAACATGTGTATTTAGTAAAGTCACTGTATAAAAGACCAATGTATGAAAATGTATTTTAGAAAAAACTCTTGAAGATGGCGTCGGAGTAAGAGGGAGCGGATTCTAGCTCCGGCACTCGTGGGTGAAAATCCTGGCAGATCTATAGAAAAGCAGCGCACTAATCCATCAGTTATCCAGCATTTGTGAAATTGAAAGAACAGAGACTCTGTTGGACGCTGAAACACCAGAAAGCGGCAGGTCAGTGGGGCTTTGGGAACCAGTTTAAAGACAAAGCAGCGGCGGGGGCTGGCGCCCCAGGCCAGGTGGCCCAGGTGCTGCATCTACAGCCGGGGTCCAGAACCATCGGTCTGAGACCAACGCCAGAGAGGTCTACCACAGGAGCTTGGGCACCCAGCGGCTCCAGTGGCCTCCAGCGTGGGCCAGCAGCTCCCCCGCTTCCTATATAAGCAAAACTGGACAACACCGGGCAGAGACCTGTCTGCTTGCTGGCTTGCATTTTTGGGGAGGGGTACAAAGACACAGGGCCCGGTTCAACTGCAGACTCTGTGATTGCAAGCCTGGGAGAATCCAGAGACGCATTAGCCTCACAGGTTTGGTTGGGGACTGAGCGGGAATGAGAGACAGGCTGTCCGGAAAGTTTTGTTTTGTTTTGTTTTGTTTTATTGAAAGTGGACTGAGGTGTTCTCTTGCCAAGGCAGATTGGCTTGCTTCCTATCCGGCCTTGCAGCGAGCCAGGGGGAAAGTGGAGGCATTTGGGGACTAGCCACACGAATGGGAAGCGCCCTGCCGGTTACTCCGGGTCCCAGAAGGTCTGTTGGAAGCGGACGCCTCTGAGCCACCACCAGGGGGCTGGGAAGCCCTCTGCCGGTTACGCCAGTCCCAGAAGGACAAGCTCGCGGGCGCAGAGAGTTCAGAGAGGCTGCAGGACAAAGACGCTCCCTGACGGTTTCCTGCTCACACGCACAGCCGGACTCTGGCGCGCACTGGCGCAGAGATCTTTGAGCCCGGGCTACTGGACCTAGAAGCGCCAGACGGTTTCCCGCGCCAGCGGGGGCGCAGAGAACTCTAGGCTGACGCCACTAGGATCGGGAAGTGCACAGGGGCGGCGGGGACCAGATAGCGCAGGTTGCGCAGTCCCGGACAGCCCACAGAGTGTGCCCGGCAAGTGCCCAGGCGCCCACACCCCAAGCTGGTAGCCCGGCTGGTGCGCGCACATGCGTCGGCATCCCAGCACACAGGGAGATCCTGCTACAAGAAAAACCAGTCTGGACAGTTTGAAACCAACAAGGGAAGGGTTTCTCTGTTGTTGTTGTTATTGTTTATTTGGGGTTTTTTTTTGCTGTTTACTTGTTTGTGTTTTGGTTTTTTTTTCTTCAATTTTTTATGTTTTTTTTTCCTTTTTTTAGTAACTTTTTTGTGCATTAGTTTAGTAACCTTATATATTTTTTAAATTTTATCACTGCTTTATCTTTCTATACTTTGTTCCTCTCCTTTCTTTTTCCGTTTTAGTCCTTCTCCCTTTCCTCTTAAACTCATTGCTTTCGCCTCCCCTCTCCTGCCTTTTCGTTTGATTGTATGTTGCTTCGTTTCCTTTTACCTGCAAGAGACACCAACAACTAGGAACTGTGAAAGGACCAGAATGGGACCCGAAGAGGGGGCATCTCAACAGTAGAGACAGAGAAACAAACTTCACATTCCTATAGCAGAGAAGCCACGAGGAGATGCATTTTTTTTCATTATTTTCACCTCTTTTATATTTTAATAATATCTCTGTATTCCTCCTTTTTCTGTAGAGGCTTCTTAGTCTCGAGTAGGTACATTGTATTATTAGACAGGCTCCCCCCTGTCCTTTCCTCCACAGTGCTTTGCTAACCCTCTAAACTACACGCCACTGGTTTTCCTTTAGCACACTACCTAAAGCACTATACCCCCTACTCAGACAGACCACATAGAGATTGTTATACGAGTACTGCTCTAATATTAGTGTAAATAATAGCTGATCTATGCAACAGTAAATAGTTCACAACACATCTCCCGGATCTTAATCCATTGTACAGGTCCCTGAACTCTATCACTGTAGTGGTTACCTCTATTGGCTCACACACCACGCCTATTCACCGTTCCTTATACTCACCTTACCTCAAAATCTGACCATCTAAAACCTCACTGCTTTCTAGTTACAACTAACAAGACTTCCCTCCCCAACAAGAGGCTTATCTTTTGTCCATCATGTCATAAAAGTGTCAAGTTTGGCTGAAGAATACGGTTAATACAATATACAGTCTAAAGATCGCCTATCTCCTCTCTACCAGCTGTGACTGTAAATATCATAAAAAACTCTTATGCTGTCATAAACCATTTTGCCTCCTCCTACAACTGATTACACAAACACAATAAAAGGAGTAGGTGGAAACGGAGAACATCAAGATACCTGAAGGAGCCTGCACCACTGAAATTCACAGGTATTATACCACAGAAGTTCACAGCATAAACCCAGGGAGTCAGAACAGATCAATTTTAGAAGCTGAGGCCAACAAGAAGAGTCACACAAACAATGGGAAGACAAAGAAACAATCCCCAAATAAAAGAAAAAGCAGAGGCTTCAGAAAGAATGTTAGATGAAATAGAAGCTAATCAACTAACAGATAGTGAATTCAAAGCACTGGTAGTCACGAAATTCAAAGAGCTCACGATGAGCTACCAAAAACTACAGGGGAGCTACAATGACCTCACCACAAACTATATCAATATGAAAAAGGAAATAGAAACTATCAGCAAGGGACAGGAGGAAATGAAGAATACAATTTCTGAATTGAAGAACACAGTAGATAGTTTCAAAAGTAGGATAGAAGAGGCGGAGGATAGGATTAGTGAGCTGGAGGACAAAGTAGAAAGCATCTCACAGAAAGAGCAGGAAAATGAAAAGAAACTTAGAAAGAATGAAGAGGGATTAAGAGAAATACAAGACAATATGAAACGTAATAATATCCGAATAATAGGGATACCAGAAGGAGAAGAAGAAGAACAAGTAATAGAAAACATATTTGAAAGAGTAATGAGAGAAAATTTTCCTAATTTGATGACAGAAAAAGTCACACAAATCCAGGAATCACAGAGAGTCCCAATCAAGAGGAACCCAAGGAGGCCCACTTCAAGACACATCATCATCAAAATGGCAAAATTCCAAGACAAAGAGAGAATCTTAAAGGCAGCAAGGGAGAAAAAAGAAGTAACATACAAGGGAGCCCCAATAAGGCTAGCTACTGACTTCTCAATGGAAACACTCCAAGCAAGAAGAGAATGGCAACAAATATTCCAAGTAATGAGAACCAGAGGCCTGCAACCAAGGCTACTTTACCCAGCAAGGCTATCAATCAAGATAGAAGGCCAAATAAAGAGCTTCCAAGACAAAAGAAGTCTAAAAGAATATGCCACCAAACCAGTCATATAAGAAATACTAAAAGGACTGCTTTAAGGAAAGGAAGGAAGAGTGAGAGACAGAGAAGAACACAGGTACAAAAATGGCAATGAATAAGTACCTATCAATAATAACCTTAAACGTAAATGGATTAAATGGTCCAATTAAAAGACACAGAATAGCTGAATGGATAAGAAAGCATGACCCTCACATATGTTGCCTACAAGAGACCCACCTCAGGACAAAGGACCATCACAGACTAAAAGTGAAAGGCTGGAAACAAATTTACCAAGCAAACGGACAAGAAAAAAAAGCTGGAGTAGCAATTCTCATATCAGACAAAATAGACTTCAAAAAGAGGACCATAAAGAGAGACCCAGAAGGTCACTTCATAATACTCAAGGGAAGAATCCACCAAGAAGACATTAACATCGTAAATATATATGCACCCAACATAGGAGCACCAAAATATATCAAGAAAATCTTAGAGGACTTCAAGAATGATATTGACAGCAACACAATTATAGTAGGGGATTTTAACACCCCACTATCAAAAATGGACAGATCTTCCAAACAAAATATCAATAAAGATATTGTGTCATTAAACAACACCCTAGAGGAAATGGACTTAACTGACATATATAGAGCCCTTCATCCCAAAGAAGCTAAATACACATTCTTTTCAAATGCACATGGAACATTCTCAAAAATCGACCACATGATAGGTCACAAAATGAGCCTCAACAAAGTCAAGAAAATTGAAATCATACCAAGCATTTTCTCTGACCACAAGGGACTGAAATTGGAAACCAACCCTAGAGGAAAAAACCCAAAGCACCCCAAATCATGGAGACTGAATGGTATGCTACTAAACAATGAACGGGTCAAGAATGAAATTAGGGAAGAAATCAA